TTTATGTAGTTTTATGATTTATATTACAGTTACATAAATAAATAATAGCACCAAATCAAAAGCAATAATACTCTAAAAGAGCCCTTAAACAGAGAAGAGTGTTAACTTTTCTATTTCTTGTGTTTCATATATCATTGTCAGCCACTGTTTATAACGCGGTGCTTTAAAATTGAGCCAGTTCTTAGTAATTTAATTAATTAATTTTCTTTGGAAAATGCGTTTTTTTGTTGTTTTTTTTTTTTAATTTAAAACATTTTAAATACTGCACTCCTATATAAAAATATATAGCAGTTTTAAATTAATTTTATTTCAAGTGAACATATTTGCACTGACATAACCAGAGCGAAACGAACAGACGTTTCATGAGTGACACTGAAGCATTGCAGTGGTACTAGGCATGTGTCAAATCAAGGCCCGGGGGCCAAATGTGGCACGCCAATCCGTTTTGTGTGGTCCACTGGGGCTTAAAAAGCATTTAGTAAAGTCCATGCAGCAGGGTTTTTAGCCTGAGAAATTAAAAGTTGTTTTTTATAACACAGCAATGAACAATATTAGTAGCTTGAATAAATAATAATTAATTCCAAAACATGTATTAGTCTGTTATGGAGTAGTTACATCTATAGCAGCGGTACCACCCGTTACTACAGACCAGTACCAAGGTGCTGAGCATTGAAGGGTCATTAAATTTCCAAAATAAAACATCTTTTAGACTCTATTCTCTTTGTATCAGTTTGAATGACCTGACATTTTTTTAAAAAATTCCAGATTATCTTTAAATAAAGAAAGTAAATGGACATGACTGGATTTTCTTTGAATGAAGTAAATTAGTAAAAATTAAGTACATTTTTTCACTGTGTCCCACTGCGGCCCGGTACCAAATGAGCTATGGACCGATACTGGTCCGCGGACTGGAGGTTGGGGACGCCTGATCTATACAGTCTTCTAATTACAACCGGCCCTTCAAGGGGAACTGTATTGCTGATGTGGCCCCCTAGTGGAAATGAGCTTAATACCCCTGTATTACAGTGTGGTCGGGGACAAGCGTTGTCCTGCGGTGGCAAACAGGTAAATGGGAACACACTGATGTTACTCTTCATCAATCCAAAAGTCACGTTACATGTTTTTATCTCACACACTTGAGTTTGTTCTGGCTATATTCCCATGTTTACACTCACTGTGACTCAGCTGACACACGTCTCCTAGTCTGTAGTGATATGACTGTAGTTCCATGTAGTTAAAACTCTCTGTGTCAAACGCTCACGTTGGTTTCATTAAGACTTATTATCACTAATGTTTCCAAGCTGCCAAAACCCCCCGTCAATCAGGAACATCTGGACAATCTCTCAGCGCTCTTTGAACCTCAGCAGAGTCTTCAGCTGGAAATCTCACGTGCACTTAGACAAAATAAAAAACAATTATTTAGCAAGTTTCTTCATCACCCACAGAGAATGGAAAAGTTAGTGGGTTTTTTTTTTTAGTGTTTCCTAATGGTTTTGATATTTCCTTAATTTGCTGTGACTCCAGTAAGAAGGATAATGTATAGTTATCAATACAGTTATAGGTAAATGACGTGTCCATCTGCTGGACGGAGGAACAAACTACAAACAGTTGAAGACAAAGGTAAACAATAGAAAATAACAGGGTTTGCATAGAGAAGTAGAAGTTTTGTTGTGGACAAAGCAGGAAGGGTGTTGAAGGAGCACAAGAAAAAGTTACTCAAAGGCTGGGTCAGGTTACACTTTAGGTACAACAATAGTTTGACAGTGAAGTATACCTTAATATATAGTCTAAGTTTTTCAAAACAGAGGAACTTAAGTATTCAATTTGTCTACAGTAGAAAATAATCAATCCACTGTTTGATTTACTTTTTTTCATTGAACGTTATATAGTCTAAGTTTTTCAAAACAGAGGAACTTAGTATTCAATTTGTCTGCAGTAGAAAATAATCAATGATTTACTTTTTTTCATTGAACGCGATGTAACTTCTGTCATCTATAAATAAAATATTATTTGTGGCTAATGGAGGGACTGTCATTAAGAATAAGTGGGTCCTCTAGAAAATCGAATCCAGGACGAGCTTAGCTTGCAAACAGACATGCTAACTACTACACTGTGGAACCAGCTGTGTCTGTTGTGTGAACACAGAATTATCAATTACAGGTCTAATCATCAGTCTTTCAGATTAGAAAGGACCAAATGGCAACAGATCATCAGTAATCACCGTACAAACACCAAAAATAACACAAAATGTAACAATAATGATAATAATTGAGCACCAGACCGTCATGAGTTTGAGATTTACTGACACAGATATGACCCAAATTTCCTGCTACGATAACTAACTAAAGATTACGGTTTAGTCTCATTTTCCTGCACCAGTTTCTCTAATTAAGACTAAGTGACTTTATATTCATAAAATCCATTTGATGGATCTGCAAATGTGTGGCTTAATTAGCAGCCAGTTTAGATGATGATCTGATGTTGGCCTCTGGCCTGTATGTGTGATTAGACAGAGCATCAGGACTGAGGAGACGCAGGAGAAATAATATACACATACAGTATATAAACAATTGTATGAAAACGTGTAATTTTTCTAAAGGACAAAAGGACCTTACAGTGTCTTTAAAGGTCCTTCTGGTTTTGCCACTGTGCTTTTGAGATTTGTCGTATGTCTGAGCTTCGTGTTAAGACTCCTAGTATTCAAAGGAGAAAGTCAAAGTTCTAAGACAGATTGGGCCTAAAAACTTTATTTATAGAGACTCTGGACTTTTTTTTAAACCAGGTCACAACCTGCTTCTTTGCTTTGTCTAAGAACTTTTTTTTTTAACTACAAATGTTCTTATAATTTTCAATAAAAGAAAATTGAAATTGAAGACCAGATAAAATGACATAATTTCTCTGATATGTATTTTTTTAATCAGTTTTAAAGGAGTAAAAAACATGATCAAATAAAACGGGTCTATCACGTGTTTTAGTTCAACATAAAACACCATTCTGTCTTAGAACGTTTTGTCTTGGCCCAGCACATGAAATGTCTTTTTTGTTGGACATTAATAATGAAGATGGACAGAAAAGGGGTTTAAACACATCAAATATGTGCGGAAGACTAAAACATTTCCTGTTTTCACCTTCTTTCTGCACAAAGACCGGTGGCATTAAGATTTGGGTTCTGGATTGGGATAGAGAAGTTGGAATTAGGGTTATGGATAAAGTAGTTGCTATGATCAAAACTAAACATATTATACTAATACATTCATAAAAAAAAAAATTCACAAAATAAAACTTTCTCAACAATTAATAAAAATACACAAAGTTCCATTGAAATGCCTAGTTATCTCCTTTTCCAAGGTTAAATTTTAGAAAATATACTATTTTAATACTTTTTTGGTACGTCAACCTTTGATCACAATAGAATACTATACTATTAAGATTCTGAAACGGTCTTAAAAAATAAACCTTTCCCTAAAATGATTAAAAGTGCACTCATTTGCCTTATTATACTAAGATATGTACATTTCTGTGGTTAAAATTCAGAAAAAAAATACCGTATTTTTTGCACAAATCTGCAATATTGAAATATTAAAATCCTTTAAAAATTCTATTCAATTTAACAGCCAAACTAAAAATTGCTCTAGCTGATCATGGAAGAGTGACCACGTGATAATTGTACTTTATTTGACCCGTGTGTGGGTTTTTTTCTGGAGTCAATTATGGTTTTTTGTGCCTTCCCTGCCCTTTGACCTTTCCCGGATGATGTCACCTCTAATATTAATTACAAGACAAATGGACGACATCACTCTGCTCAAATGTAATCACCACATTTTAATTAAACCCAAACACCAGACTCTGCCTCAGTGGATTAAAGCTGTTTATCGTCAAACTAAAAAACCTTTGTTATGGTTAAAATACAACACACTGGTTAGAATCAGTAAATTACTGTAGCCCATAAATTAAAAACCTGGTGCCAAGGGGCAAATAGGCAATATGGCCGCCCTCCAAACATGTACACAGATGACATCATGATAAAGTTAGTCACAGGAATTCCACAGAACACGCTTCTACCTGCAGTGAGGGATGGTTTCTGTGGTGAAACTCTGGAGTGTCATCCTCTGATAAAACAGATAAGCATCTGAACATGTGCCGAGATCGTTCTGTTCTTTTCTTCATCCTGTGAACACACTCTTTTATTAAACTACGTTTCCTCCTGCTCCATGTCATCAACAGCCGTTCACTGATTATTAAGTTTGATAATTGTTAATGTTGTTCCTGAACTGTACAGTAGAAGCTACTTTAGCTTCTGTTCAACCATCTTCAAACTAGATGATGACACACAGGATTGGTTGATTTGGTAACACATGAACAAAAAGGCAAAAAGTAGAAAACCCTGGTCCATATCAGAGACTCGTGGCTGGTGAGGCACTGACTCCTCAGGAGTCAGATTTACAATTGTAAGAACTGAAAAGAGCATCTTACACCAACACAAACATATACACAGAAACATATTTGTCCTACAAAGAACGTTTCTTGTATAGAAATGGACAGAGCACCTCCTTGTGTCTAAGCAATTCATATTTACTGTAAACAAATTAAAAAATAGAGATGAGTGGAGCACAAATTTAATTTCAGCAGATTTACAATTGTAAGAACTGAAAAGAGCATCTTACACCAACACAAACATATACACAGAAACATATTTGTCCTACAAAGAACGTTTCTTGTATAGAAATGGACAGAGCACCTCCTTGTGTCTAAGCAATTCATATTTACTGTAAACAAATTAAAATATAGAGATGAGTGCAGCACAAATTTAATTTCGACCTTCAGTAAAAAAAATCAGTTATTTTTCAAACTTTAAATAATGTTGCTTTAATCAAAGGTTGTCTATCAATTTGATAACAAAAAATATATTTTAGGCCAAAAATGTAGTTGTCGAATACTTTTCTACTTACTCCCATCTAATTTTTTAAAAAACAAAAACTTTAAACCATTTTTAGCCTTACCTTTACTTGTAGATGAAGTCCATGGTTGTAGCTCTCGGTTTTCCCCTCACCTTAGCATTGTGGATGCTAATGTTTAGCCTGTGTTGCTCATCCAATGCCAAATCGATTCTTGTAAATGTTTCAGGTCACAATATCCCGAGTTAGTCCAGACGTTATCACACGAGGAGAATCAAAGACAAGGAGAGCAGTAATGGCGGTTTCTTACAGGACAGCCAGTTTTTTCGTTTGTATATCTCCATTTAAAACAAACGACTCTTCTGTCCCGTAGTTTGAAGCTAACCTTTTAGCTCCGGTCGTTGGGAAATTAATTAAGCTATTTAGAATGAAGTATATTAAGTATTTATATATAAATAAATTCGATAAATAAATAAAAAGAAAAAGAAAAAATAAATAAAAATAACAATTTAGAGGAATATAAAAATATTTTAATCTTTTGTTTTGAAAAAACTTATTTTCCCTTGTAAAAAATAATTTCTTGTATGTCTACATTTTATGTACATGATTAGTTTTCAATTCAGTGCATTTTTATTTTTTAACAGTATAGTATATAGTATGTTGCTTTTGATCAAAAATGAATGCTCCAAAAAATCTGATTTCTTTTAGCATAAAAAACATACATAGTCCCATATTTTTAGGCAAACTAGTGCATTTTTATTCGTTTTAGGGTATCTTTATTTTTTTATTACTTTTCAGGAAATCTTTAGTTCAGTAAAGATGCTTTAAAATAAAAGAAAAACATTTAAATAAATTATAATTTAATAACAAAATTAAGTGTGACTTCTGTGAAAAAAAAAAGAAGTGCTCTGACTCATTTAGCCTGTTTAATGTAAATTCTGTCTAAATTTGGACCAGACATGTAAGACTTTCTTTCAAATTGGTATGGTGCCACCTAATGCAATTGAGCAGAACTGAATCCAGGATATATCTTAATTTTACTCCTGAAGCTATTTTTTTAATTTATTTAATCCAAAGTCACAGAATGATGATAGTTTTTCAAAGCCTTTATTTTACAGAAACCTCTGAAAGTTAAAACACAAATCATCAGTTCCAGTACAGTCTGTGAGTGTGTGTGTACCATAATGTCATAACTCAGCGTTGGCCACTAAGGCAGGACCATACTGTATTTATTCATGTTCATGGCATCCATGACTGTGCACACTAACCAAACGGATTCATTAAGATACAAGAATAACAGACCAGAGTGGATTATTATTCTAGCATTAACAAAAGAAGATAAGATAAGCAGAATGTTTACACAAAAAGAAATAGAAATATCACTAAAATAGCAGCAAAGAAGAGCACTGATAAATCCAACCTTTATATGATCCACATAAGAACAAGTAAAATCCCTCAATTTAAAGCTAACCTTTAATATAACAGTTTAAAAACACACACACGCGCACACTCACACACACAGGGATAAGATGATACCATAGACATACCAGTAGACTGATAAATAAAAGATAATGTTATCACTAGGAGACAATAGTGTCCTGTTAATTCCCTGAAACACAAACATTTACTCTGACATCACAACCACAGACAGATTGGCTACGGGCCACTGGGGGTCACCGCTAATACAACAGTGAGCTCTCTGTCTGGTCTTAAAAAGAAAAAAGAAACCTCCCATAAGTTCATTTTATCTCACTTCACGTCAGTTCATGTGAACTCTGATTGGTTCCTTCTCTACACGAAAAACTGAGCCACCAGGTTGGCCAATCCCAGCAGGATGAGGAAGCTGTGGAAGACAGCCGACGGCCAGCTGAGTGTCCCCTGTCGCTTCTTGGAGATCATGTGCACCAGAGCTGGAAAGATGAACACCAGAGCCAGGCCGCATGTAGCACCAGAGAACCTGTAGGGAGAGACAGAGGTGATTTAAAGTTATGTTACCCCTCTTCAATGATTCTTATGTTTACATTAACATATATTGCAGCAGTAATCTATAGTTGGCACCACTTTAACTTTAAGACAGTGCCTCCGTTAGGCACTGAGAGTCCGCATTAACTACACCGTGGGCGCCCTATGGTGACAACTAATAAATGATAAAATAAACGAAATGGAAAAGAAATCTTACTGTTTTGTCCCAATATTGTAGTCATTGAAAAACAAAAAACTGAATTGTGTTTCATTGTATTCATCTATTCACTAAAGTCCATACCGAAAATCAGCATTTTAATGGTGTGGACACAAAACCTGCTGGTCAACTGCTGCAATTTCTACAAACTGTAGCCTGCGTCTTAGTGTTTTTTTAAACTCACAGAAACATGGGTCCTGAGGGACCAATAATAGCAGATTTTCTTTTTTTTTCTTTTTTTTTAACAAAGATCAAACAAAAATGAACCAATCCCCAAAGTGATAAAAGTGCAGTGAGAACAGCTTTTTTTTTACCGTATGATCGATCCAATATTAGGGTAGAATTTGGCCATCAGGACCCCAGCTCCCACAATCACGATGTTCAGAGCCAGAATATGGAAGAAACTAAAGCAGCCAATGGAAATCCATTAGTAAACATATGAGAATCAAAGTTGATTTTTTTTCATAAATATTTTTATTCCCATCTGTAGAAGACATCTCACCTGGGGTAATTGTTACCAAAGACCTGACCCATGATTTGGACTCGCACCAAGTAGCCCAGCAGAGGGTAGACGGTGATCATCTGGAAGAGCAGGAAGGTGCGAGCCACGAACACCATCACGTCATTGCTGGGGTAGTTGTCTAGAAAGTTCTACAGGACAGGAAGTAGCACAGAGTTAAAGACCAGTCTAAAGTGTCCACAGTTTTGCCCAAGAGGGACAAAAGTCCACAGAGAAAATCAGTGATTATTTTATCATTGCCTTCTTTTCTCTTTATTGGAGCTTGTTAGAGAACTGGCTGATGCATTACTGCCACCATGTGATCAAAAGCTGCATTGTAACTGAGCTTCTCAATGATAACATAACTCTGGAGTCTTCAGTTGATAACCTACGCAATCTCACAGCCCTTGTGGCCCACTAATGTAAAACTGAAAGTTTTTTGTGGTCCTCTAGATGGCACCGGTGGTCCAAGTTTGAGCTGCGGCCCTAGTGTTAAAAATCGCTGCCCCAAAACTAGCCCTAACCTATGACAGTCCTACAATAGTGACAGTCAGAGAGGTCATGTGACCAAAGTGTTGCTCTTACCGGTTCAATGCAATCTTTCAAAAGAGGAGGTGACGGGAAGGAGGCAAAGATGAGAACTCCGACGTACAGGTATGTCAGCCCGACCAGAAGATAGGCTACGGAGAGGTCCCTCACCTGGAGACAAGAGGATACAATGCCATCCAATCAGAATCACTCCACCTTAAATGTTTACCTAAAAAATTAGATTCAAGTGTGCAGCTAGTGAACCGTGTTTGGGAGTTGGACCTACATTGTTCTCCTGGTTCTTGTTACTCTTCATTAACGTGATGATGCAGTTGTGGATGAAAAAGGCCAGAGTGAGGACGCCAGTGAGCTGAGGGAAGAGCAGCCTTAACTCTGAAATGATATGGTCAAAACTCAGTCACAAAGAAAGTGGAATCACACCGACAACTTTCAGCTCAGTGCTGAAGAGAACAAAACATCTATACCTGGAACAAAGAACGTGCTGGTGTCAAACCAGTGGAACTCCAGGTGGAAACCGAGGCGAACGGATTTGATGGTGACCAGAACGATGAGGTATATGACTGATATGGTTCCTGCGAGAACACCAACACACACACAAACATCAGCACGTTGGTTGAACTCCGACTTATCTTAATTAGAACTTCATTCTCTGAAAGTCAGAATCCATTGACTTTGACATGAAGATACAAGACCAAATCTATCTCACCCCATGGTGTAGGGGTGCAGTGTAGAATACGCATACAGACAAGAAAGGCTGACGCCATTAAATTCGTCAACTTCAAGCTCATACAAACACAAATCTTGTTTAAAATTGTGCTGATGATGAATATTTGTTACTTTTTAACACTGACTCAATGTTTTTAAATCGATAGTGAACCTTAGTTTTACTGTAGTACTCTAAGATGCACATGACGTTTGACACAACAACCACCTTACCCAGGAAGGTGAAGCGTGCAAAGAAGGAGGCCGAGCGGAAGCAGAGCAGCGGCAGCAGGAGGACGATGAGGTACAGTGGGATGGTGTTGGTTTTACTCCACCAGTGTCCAAAGGACGTGGAGTCAAGGGTTTCATTTCCAACACTGCTGATAAACAAAGGGCTCATGGTGATACTGCCGTTTCCTCCAGGTTCAATATTAGGATATGGACAAATGACTGGGGGGAAAGAAAATCCAACATCAACATCATCATCATCATCATCATTTTCATATTAATCTTCTTTACAATAATTATCTTTTTCATTATAATCATTATCATCATCAAGATTATTACCATTATAATGATCATCATTATTATTATTTTTATATTCATAATAATTTTGATCTTTTCACAATATATTTTCATTATTTTCATGATTATCATTATTGTCATTATCATCTGTCCATGTGTTTGTCATATCTTTCATTATAAAAACAGAACGGAACAGAAAGCCAAACTGAGACAGGTGGCGCCGGTCACTCACCTTTTTCTGAACCATTGGTTCCATACTCCAAGTCCGAGGTATTGACATTGTGGGCGTAGTCTGTCGACAAATACACAGGACCACAACGTCAGGAAACGGGCTGTTTCTGTACATTTTAGACTCATTTCTCATCCACTCAGCATAGACCACACATCAATCAACACCAACCGTCCTTCAATCTGAATGTGACTAAGACTATTTTCACAACTCAGACCTGAAACAGTATTTGTTGACATCATCTGTAGAAGGTTGTAATATTTAGTTTGTCTATGGATTTTCACTATGTCATCATTAATAAAAACAATATGAATTATATTATGACATTGAATTCAATTACATTTAAAGTTTTAATCTACTTAAAGCGTCAGCCTTCTTTCAAGCACAGGGGGCGCTGTCCGTTATACAAACAAACATTAAACTTGAGCATTTCTCTCAGGTCAGGAAATGCTCTACAGATGAAGACGACAGCAGCAGACTTTGGCCTTTAAAGCCTCGTCGGCTGCACGGTGTCAAGTCATGTGACGAACAAACATGAAAAAGTCGAGACTTTTAACAATCAACAACTGGAGAGTGTATGTGACCTTACTGTAGATAAACTGCCCTGTGTTGTACAGGAAGTTGGACATCAGGACCCAGTAAACAACCATGGCTCCTATGAGGGACACCATGGAGAAAACCAGACTGGACCACTGACCGAACTTCCCGAAGTAGTACCGACAGACATCCGGGAATTCCCAGTCAGACGTGTCCACGTAGGCTGTGCAGACAAAAAAAAAGTTTTTTTGTTTTGAGCTTTTGGTTCTTAAAATTTTTTTTTTTAAATAAATAAAAACAAATTTAGTAAAGGGATAAGCTTGTTTTGGTTGTCCCGTAATAAAGATTTAAAGGGATAAGAAAAAGTAAAAAAAAGCTCAAATAATATATTGTCATTCGTTCTCTGTCGGTGTTTTGACTCCTAAAAATATCTGCCTGCTCAGCAGGGGGCAGAGTTCACAGACAACAGTCACTTCCTCAGTGAGCTGTTACTTTCACAGTCGTCATTGTTCCAAGTAGACGACACAACAGAGTCTAATGAAAGGTCATGAGGTCGCAGGGAAAATCCATAGGTTTCTTTCTGCAGGAAAAAAAAAACAAAACAAATCAATGACCTTTGGAAAAACACGCAGGACGGACGGAGACGTCCACGTCCACGTCCTCGCACTAGTGGATCTCTGATCGTGGACGGTGAAGGAAAGAGATTACAGACGGTCACCGATGACGACACAAGACTTAGAAAGGACTTAGGTATGGATGAAGGTTCTGGAGACGTCTGAGAAGAACTTGGAGAACGAGAACACAGACTGGATGATGATCATCTGGTCTGATGACACAACACTAGAAACGTTTTAAAAGATGTTGCATGTGGTTCGATGGAGAGGGGGAAAAGGCAAAAAGAAAGATGTTGCATGTGGTTCGATGGAGATTGGGAAAAGGCAAAAAAAAACACAAGGACCATGGTCCCACCGGAGGAATATAGAAGGAGGAATAAAAGGATGTGGAGGTCATTGAGTACACCAGGACCTGGGAATCTCATGAAAGCCAAAGGAGGTCGATTCATTTTTTTTTTCTGTTAGAAAAGTGTAGTTTCTTTAAAAGAAAAAACTTTGCTTTAAAAGTGAACACTGATCCAAAACAGACTGTTTTGATCGAAGACGAACTCGAACAACAGATGAAGATTGTGCTTCCACTTCGGTCACCACAGTGCAGTGTACTCACGTATGGCCTTTGGTGACTTGAGGACGACGTAGCAACAGTAGAGCATCAGGAGACCGAGGAAGACGATGATGAGGATGCCCAGAGTAAACCCGGCCTAAAGACACAGAACATAGAAATTAGTCTGTGTTCCAACAAGGTGAAGTGAACAAGGTGGTAAACAACAATCACCTGCTTTATCCCCCAGGGTATGCTGAGGATTGACGTGCCCATCATCGTGTTCCATATGGCAAATCTGTGTGGAGACAGTAAAAACAGTGATGACACAAAGATGAAGAGGAGGGCGAAGGTGAAGGAGCGACGTCGTCAATACACACATGGTGACAATGCTGGGGTTCTTGGATGTGTCGTCACTTCCTTTGACCTTGAAGGCCATTCCCAGGGGGCTGTAGACATAGATCTCCTCTGGCCTGGGGATCACATGGTTCGGTGGACTCTGCAGACAAATAGGAGGAGATTAATTAATTTTTTGAGTCTGAGACACCTGAGAGTTACAGATCTGCTGCTGCTGCTGTGGACAGTGTGGAAACGACAAACCCAAAAAGTCAATAGAACCTGTGATTGGACAAGTCCATGAAATCTAAGAAACTCTGCAGAAACCAATGTATGCCTCAGGTTCTGTTCACGCCACGGTAGATAAGGACGATCGCAGATAATAATCTGGATGTTCAGCTGACAGTGGGCAGCAGCTGTTGGTCTACTGCCACCTTGTGCTGATCAGCTTGTTGCTCCGACAGAAACTGATCAAAGGATTTTAGACACTGACATCACAAAACATCATAACGTATGCATGTGTGTGTGTGTGTGTGTGTGTGTGTGTAGGTTCTCAGTCGTCCAGGTCATATCATCCTAGGAAGTTCAGACGAAGGTACCTGGTTTTCCTGACGACCTTTCACCTCTCAGTCCAAGAGTCTTCCTCAGTTCTAACTGACTGCTGGAGAAATCCTAGCGTTTAGCTTGTAGAGGTTACGGACAACGACGCCGTTACCATCTTTGTCTGCATACTTCCTGATCTACTGTTTCACTTCTGCATTTTTTACAGTTTTTTTTTTCTTGGTCGCACATAACGTGTGTTCTTTAAGGAAGTCTTCGCAGTTTAGCTGTGTCATTTCATGCGATATCATGCCATAGATGATATCGCAGGCCAGTCAAACTAATAAAAAAAAGAAAATCACCCCTTATGGCCTAGAACAGGTGTGGGCAAAGTTTTTGACTCGTGGGCCACAATTGGTCAAAGTTTGGTCAGAGTTTGACAGGGGGCCGGGTCAGGAGCAGATAGATGGAGCGTTTGTGTGAACTAAGATAAATGACATTAAAATCATGCATAAAGGCTAACAACGCTAAAATGCTTTTAGCTGTCTCTACGCCATCTACAGGGAAAATGTGGGCATTACAGGGAAAAGGCAGAAATATAATCACAATAAAATCCAATTTTTGTTTGGCGGGCCGGATTACAAAAATAAACGGGCCGCATCCGGCCTTAGTTTGCCCATGCCTGATCAAGAACCACCAGTGTGTGACCACTGAAGAGCCAGTCCAGTTGACCACTTCTAAAAGTTTGGGGATCACATTAAACCAGTGTTTTTCAACCTTGGGCTCACGACACCAAACGGGGTCAAATCAAATGTCTAGTAATTGATAAAAAAAAAATTACATTTTTTTTCAACTAATTATTTCTATTATTCTATAAATCCTTTTTAAAATTACGATTAAAACCACCAGACGCAATCTCAAACAGCTGTATTCTTTCTTTTTTAACATTCAACAATAACAACAAAAATGTCTCTGGGGTCGCCAGACATTTGTGAATGTCACAAGTCAAAAAAGGTTGGGGACCGCTGCATTAAACACCTGAATGTGGTCAGCAACAAACTGGAACTACTGTGTGACTTTGATGTCAAATTGACAATTATCTGTACGGACTTTAGTGTGTGTTTAATAAATTCATGTGGCTGACGTACCAGCAGTCGGTCAGAGGAGCCGGTCAGTCGACCGTAGTAATGGACCCTGCTGTTGAGGATGGCCGCCTCAGCAGAAACTCTCTCCTGCGGGTCATCGCCTATGATGTTCCTGGGCTCCACGTGGAAAGGTCTGGGAGACAGACAGAAGGACAGGTGACTTTGAGGTCAGGTCATAGAGTAAGAAGACAAAGGTGCATCATATCATCATATCATTTGAAATAATAAAAATCACAGTGTGTCCATGTCAAGAACTAAGCTGCCATTTGCACCACAGCCAGACTTTGGCTTAAAGAGTTACGTCCACGGCCCAAAGTCCTCATCAACCCAACCCACCATTGGATGGATTTTGTTTTATGTATAAGGTCAACAGTCTTTCAGCAAGCAAAAATCTGACACCATCAAAATCAGAATTGTTTCTCTCAACAAACATCTTTTCCAGGGACTAATTTTACCCAATGTGCAAAGGATGCTCATGTAAAAGTCAGGCAAAAAGGCTAAAATGCTTTTAGCCTTCTCTACGCCATCTACGGGGAAAATGTGGGCATTGCAGGGAAAAGGCAGAAATATAATCACAATAAAATCCAATTATTGTTTGGCAGCCGGACTACAAAAACGAACGGGCCGCTTTAATCTTAAAGATTAAAGATGAAAGATTAAAGGCTTCAAGGGTTGGAAGACAACTTTAGTGTTCACAGCAGTTGGCTCCTTTATGTAACTCAGAATGTAGCTCCACAGAGTCACTGGGTTTTAGCCATTACTCTACATCTGGACTGTGGCTTCTACAATCAGATTAAACAGAAATGCCTTTCAACACATGGGCAGAATGACGTAAAGTTTTATCCGAAAATTTCTCCATCCATCCACTCATCGCTGCTCTAAAACACAGTCGATGAACATGTTATTTACACAAACTGCGGGGGAAAAACATTTGTTTCAACAACTCCCAGCAGGTGACTGTACACTGATTAATACTGATGAGGACAATAACAACAAGAAAAAACTCTCCACAGCTTTATGAGGGTCAATTTTCTGGTATAATTTTGTACATTTTTTATTGACTTTTTCACAGTAATAATTCAACCTTGTGGATTAGTCAGAAACGCACATCTACATGCTCTTGTTTTGTCTTTCTGTTCCACAAGTATTGAGATTTTGTTTTGTACTTCCTTTTTAGGAATGTAGATTTATTGATTTGTTTATTAATCGTGATTAATTGAAATTCTTAAAACATAGAAAAGTTCTAATAGTGTGACAGCACTTTATTTCACTAAATAATGAAGCAGTGCTGTTCTTTAGCTCTGTGATCCGTTGGGCAAAATGTTTGAGGCGAATTACCTATAATAAACAGGCATTTGCTAAAAGAGCTCAATATCTGTCGTCACTGCTGCCAACATCAACACAGCTCTGAGAATGTGTGTGTGTGTGTGTGACATGAACATAAACTGAACGGTGTGTGTGTGTGTGTGGTGTGTGACATGAACATAAACTGAACACACACATCTTTTCAGTTGCTACTGTGAGCTCTTTCCTTCTGCCATTGATCGTGCAGATTCTGGGCTGCAGGACTAACAGCCTTGGTTGATTTTCAATGTCCAGCATTGGTCTTTATTTTGTCAGTCCTTCCATCGCACCCTGGTCTATGGTGTGACCTAAACGTGTTCATACACTCATACAGCTGAGCACGTGGATGTCACTTACTAGAAAGCTAGGAGGGCCCTGTGAAATACAATCAGAGACCGCTAATGTCCACTAATAAGACACGCACACACACAGGATTATGTCTTCACACTAGGCCCACTGAGTTCCAGGAAAAATTAATGATCTTAGTTTCACAGCCAGAGCAACAATCTCGGGTGATGTCAGTCAAGATGTGACACGTGTCACGATGAAAACGATTCCTAAAAAGTTTCTTTTACATATTTCTCGTAAACATTCCGACATATTTTCTTTACTTCACTGTTGTTACAATCTACACCAGATCTGGGCAATCTACTGCCTGTGGGCCAGATACAGCCCGGTGGGCTTTATAATCAGGTCTGCCAAACACTGGTACAACATATGGGAGCGACTGATTATCCTAAAAAGTTTCTTTTACATATTTCTGGTAAACATTCCGACTCATTCCGATATTTTCTTTACTTCACTACACCATCTACACCAGACCTGGGCAATCTACTGCCTGTGGGCAATTCCTTCTGTTTCATGCAGAGCAATGGATTGATTGTAATTTCGGTTATTGCCAGTAGATATTAGCAGACATCAAATGTGAATTTTTTTTTCTTTGAAGAATTAGGTTAAATGTTACACATGCGCATACACATTTTAATTATATTATTTCACCCAAATATTACCAATACTAAACCTCATTTTGGCCCGTGACCCCCACTCCCCCCGTGATCTAAACACATTGTGTAGAAATTATTTCAAATCCTTTAGAGAGAAACCTCCTGGTTTCTGGATACTTGGCACAGCTGTGATGCCAGAAAACATACAACTCTTTGAGTCGTGTGTATTGAACAGCCCTGCATGTGTCATGTGCAGCACGGACACAGTGCGAGTGAAAGTCCCACGTATTGATCAGTGCAGTGTTCGAGTGTTATTTACCTTTTAGCCTTGACATCCAGAGAGTCTGTGGAGCCTCTGTGTGACTGGCTCTCAGTTTGTTCTGAGCTCAGCAGAGGCCTGTTGTCGTCCTCCATGATGCCTCCAATTTGCAGCTACAGCTCTGCAGCAGCGCTCATCACCTGACAGTGTTGTAAAATGAAGGCAGATTCTGTCACGGGACGGGTCATAAAAACTGTTTACTGTTGTCGTGTAGCTGTGACTGCAGCTGAACACCTCCCTGACGTGGAAATGTGATTGTGTACTATCCAGATAACCAACAACACTCCATCCACCCCTGTACAGTGGAAATCAATCTGGATAATCTGTGTCTGCTGGATTATCAGCTGTCTGGGGACTGCACAAACTGTTGGCCGTGAGGACATCTGATTTAATAGGAAGTTGAGGTTTTATTGAAGGATGGGAGACTAACAGCTAATGAATTTGCTTCTCACTTTAAACATTGTTTAGACTGCAGAAAAATGTATGTCAGATAGAAAAAAAACCACAAAATGCTGAATCTACTTTCGGTTCTCAAAAACGTACAGGTCCTGGAAGTTTTCTTTCCTCATGGAACCCCCATAAATCCTCTAATCCAACTCACCTGCAGCTCCACTGACAGCCCACACAGACAGCAGGCAAAAATATCAATGAAGAAAACAATATTTCTTTACAGGAGCCAATTCTTGTGAAAGTATTTCAAAGGTCTGCGTCCAAAGCAGAAAACCACTGCATCTGCAAACTGTCTGGTGGCCCGCTCACACACACACGCATACACATGCACACACACACACACACACACACTTTTAGCCATTTAGTCATAGCTGAGACTGCAGTTTTCAGTCCATCCACACACTTAGGTCAACGTGTTTCCTTTCCACCTCCTTTTCCCACTTCCTTTCCTTCTTCACTGAGTAACACAGCTAAAAATACAAAATTACACTGCTAATGCTTTCATACAATGCTAACTACTTGTTACATTGCTAACTATTTGTTACATTGCTAACTACTTATTTTATTGCCAACTATTTGTTACACTGCTAAATAATTTGTTCCCCTGCTAACAAGTTTTCTTTCATTGCTAACTACTTGTTACACTTCCAACTACTTGTAATGCTGCTAACTACTGTTACATTACTAACTGCTGTGTTTAAGTGCTGACTAAGTTGTACTTTTTTTTTTACTTTGAACACATTCATTGTTATTTTAGCAGAAACAAAGTTCACGTAGAAACAAGATTACATTTAACGGCACACTTGACCAATTCAAAACAATTTTATCACAGCACCTAGTAAACAAACAACGTGTTATGCGTCGCTCTGTTTGACGTTGAATTGTTGAAAAGAAATAGAATTATTTCCTATTTAATACAAAAGACGGCACATGAAGCCCAGAAAAACATTAATATTTTGTACAAGCACAGACCATGGTATTCAATCTGCACCTACAGCACTATATAACACATATAGGTAGTACAAAGCGAGGGTTTGTTCATTCGTATACAGCAAGTGCTAGTGCTTATACACAACCGACCAAATAAACAACTACTTACAGGTTAGTAACAGTTGTGCTTTCAAATAGTAATTTGTTCACAACATGTATTTATTAAGTGTATTTCATGGCTAACTACCTTTTATACTAACTCGGGTAACAATACAGTCACAGTTTATGACTGTAAGTTGTAAGTTAAACATTTAACAAGTCAAACAGCTATAAACAACCAACTAGCTAACTAACAAACTAACTAACTAAGTAACTATATAAATACCTAACTAACTAAGTCGGAATTGCCAGTCACCGAATACATAATTTAAGCACCAAACTAACTCACTGGGTTAGATTAGACTTACCAACGACAGTTAACAAAAACAGTGAAGATGACCTAGTTACAAAGTTAACAAATTGTTACTCACATCAATGCCTATTACAAGTTGGACTATCCAAGCCACTTTGACTAGTTAAGTACAGGACTAACCGACTGATTTATTAACTAACTAACCCAGCTCGAGCCGTGAACTCACTTGATCACAGAGTCAGGATCGTCACCGCCGTCCTCAGCTCATCTCATTCCCACACGGTGATTTCAGTAGATATTTGTGAACTGACTCTGACGTGGAAACAAAAAAAAAGGAAAAACAAGTGTTTTTTTCCTAACAGTGGACTGAGGTGTGGATGAGGTTAATGTTCCCGGAACACCGACGGTGTCACTGAAGAGAAGACGATCTGATCAGAGTCACTTGTATCTTTCTGTGTGTGTGTGTGTCGGTGTTTGTGTGTGTATGTATTCGTGCTACGATATGAACTCATCATCCGTTTGCTCATTTCCTTTCTTTACGTGGTGAGTGTGTTTTGACTATTTGCTCTTCTTCTCCAGGTATCATGCGCACCCCGCATCACTGCCCTCTTACCTCTCTACCGCCCCCTTTGACATGGCGTGAACAAATATTGCCAGACACATCCTGCTTTGAACATTCTAGTAAATATCATTTAATACAGTAAATATTGACTGTACATTCCTTTATTTTGCCAGGTAATTTTAGGTAAACCCACACCATCTATGGCCCGAACTTGTGAAGTGAAGTTCAGAGCTGTAATATTAACTTCTTGCTGCACAGGTGTGCTCCAAAAGGTTTAGTGTGTGTAAAAATGAGCAGGATTCATTTGTTTTAATTTGTCTTTTTCACATATTCTTGTATCATCCTGTGTTGTTAGTCAGGGGCACTACTAGGGAACTGAAAGAAACCCATGAAATAACTTTTATTTGATATGCATATATATATATATATATATATAGTACCACATTACTACACATAGTCAATAACTTATTGTCATATTATTTCATGTCAGTATTATCATTTTATTGGGGGCCCCTCTGGACCTTTAATACCCCCTTATTTGGTGCCCCAGTTGTTAGTAGGTGTAATGACCAAAGAATTGGTCTTCACTTCTTATAAATAAAAATGGACTTAAATCCACTTTTCCTTTTTTTTGCAAACATCCATAGGTGTATATGTAGCACGTTGTTATTATTGGGACTAAGCATAACAAAACAGAGCAAACCAATTATTCTGTAAAACATTTAATGAAAAACATAAAAAGAACGGTGACCAGTACAGCCAATAAACACACGATATTTTCCAAATTCTTTTCCAGCGACAATCATCACAATTTCCCCAACGTTTACCACTTTGACTCCTCAAAGACGACATTGATCCTCCGTGTTTGCTACATGAGAAATTATTCCGACACATAAACATTTTAAGAAGTAAGAGTACAAAACGATGCCGATAGATTGTCTACAGAAAGTTTAGACCTTTGACACAAAGGCAGTGTAACTGTAAATAAACACTTACATTTTCTCACACATAGAAACCAACACCTCATCGCCGATTGCTTCAACAAATAGAGATACCGTTGCGCTCCTCTCCTTTAGGTTTAGCAGCAGAATTTTGTTTCTGAGGTCTGAGGCAAGAACTGATGATATTTACAGTTAGACGTGGCCCTTTGTGATCAAGTACAAGAACACCACCTGCTGTGCAGTCCACGCGTTGTCATCATGTTAGAAATGGTCAACTTGACAGTCTGCAGCAACCGTAACCACCTCCACCCTGCCCGCGTCTGTCTAAGTGGGCCAGAGGATGCAAACCGTACTGTAAGAACCAAAAAGGGAGCAATCTAAACGCCAACTAGTTCTGTACAGTATTAGCCCAGTTCAAACAAAGGCTCTAACCTTTTACTAAAAACAAAATGTAAGTGACATTGAGTCCATTCCTAAACACATACACACACGCCCCTTCCCAGCACTTCAATCTAGTTATTTATTTAGCCTAGTTCTGGACCTCCGACTGGTTGTTTGCTAAATGCTGAAGTGAGTAAGCAGGCACAAAGGCATTAAGAGCAACAACGAAGTGGTGGAGGACCAGTTGATGGAAGAAAGTGGATCGGTGGATCTCTGACAGAGAGAGACCTAACAGGATGAACTAAGAGCACATGGCCAGAAGATGGCAGTAATGCAACAAAAGGATAGCAACTGTTCAAAAATTCAGGTAGGGAAAACAACGTGGTGGAAACCAACATCATCTCAGCTGCTTTGGTCAGATCTTTTTCGTCCAAGAATGACTGTTAAGCTTCCCTTCCAACAGCAGAACCACATAATAGCTTGGCTGCTGCAGTGAGCAGCATGTGCAGGCAAAGAGGTATAGATAGTTTGCAACATCACTGTGGAAAATTAGAACCGCAGGACCATTTCTGCAGGCGCTGGAGAACAACGTAAAATGATATATGCCGCTCTTGAGATGCCCTCGGAGGCCTTTTAGCTTGCTTGCTAACAGCAACGTAATAAACAGATTACTGCTGCTGCACTAATATTAAAGTGAACTTAGAGTGCCCCCTGGTGGGTTATATGTTATCTGTCATGTACATGAGTTTTATTATTAATTTCTAAATTTATACATTGACCACAGTTTGGAAAGATTTTGTAAAAAGTGACAGCCCTGGTTTAAACCCGTGGCCAGTCTGCACCCACGGACCCAAATCAACCCAGGTAATTCCCAAACATACATCCTGGCTGGGTGTGTGTTCCAATAATTCAGGTTATAAAAAAAATAATCAAAGAAGTAAATGAACAACGGCTCAACCTTTCTGTGCAGAAATAAAAAATGCCACATCCCTCCGTATTCAACCCAATAAGTTACACCAAGCCTGACCAGCTGTATACATCAGAATCCCAGAATCATTTCTACAACGAAAAAGTTGGAATTTCCAAATCTCCAGCATCTTTGGGAAGCAGCGCTACTCAAGAACAGCTGTCCGACACAAATCTCCTCATCTTCTCTCTTTTCCATTTTGCAAGTTCCATTTTGCATGCATTCAGCTGGAGTCCGTAGAAGCACCTTTATATAATGTAACATAGCACCATTTTTTTCATAGTTTCCTATTGTACTGGGACCCAACGCCTTGCATGCATACACTCTAGAGTCAGTTTATCTTGGTTACCATTTCTAAACATAGCATCGTTTCAAACGTTACAAGGCAAGTAATGAATATTCATACAGTACTTTACATGTAGAAGATGAACTAATACAGTACACATTGAAGAAAGTGCTAGAGTACAAAACCTTCGTGTTTTTTTTTTTGTTTTGTTTTTTTTGTTTTAAATCTTAACTCTACAGGACTATAGGAGACACCAATGTATTACATTACATTTATCTAAATATACACCTTTTTCACATTGTCATTATTCACTTCAGTTCGGTTTTAAAATGATTACTGAACACTTAAATTGTCACATTTCCCACTCCAGGATTCAAAAAGTGGAAAAGGTGAACGACGAACCTGAACGTCTTCTTCAGTATGCAGACATTCACATCACTCTACCCTCACAAGCACAGATATACACGGACACTTGGTCAGGGTGAGCCCCGTCTCTCTTCTTTTGGATGATGCAAAATACTCATTGCACATGTCACCAGATGCAACGACTTAGCAAGAACCAGAACATTAACGTCCCTTTTATTATGTTTTTTTGTTTTGTTTTGTTTTTTTTTTTTGCTAAATAAAGCGTGTGAAATAAAATAAGCAGTCAGCACACATCTTTACAGTCTCACTGTAAAGGTGCTTTAAGGCGTCAGGGTTGGAAACATAGGATCTTCATTAGCAGTTCACTTTGTTTTGTCAGAGTCCAACATCCTGTAGCACTCATCCTGCAGCTCCCTATCTACGATCCAGTTCGAATGGGATTGAAAAATAGGGGCTTGCATCAGCACTAAGTCTACATGTTCCTTCGAGCGACAACTATAAACCTGTGAAATAATCGAAGTTCACAAAAAGGACACAGACGAGCAGCTGTGGTCAAGGTGGGGCAGATTGTACTGCTTCTCGTTGTGCTTTCATAGTTCTGTAATTGAGCTGTAATTGGTGTTTTGGGACACTAGACAGTGTTCAGCTGTCATCTTAAAAGGAGCAGTGCAGGTTTTTATAAGAGACACACTGATGAAGTCCTGTTTATTACTTTCAAGTTCCATGTTTTAGACCAAGGGATTAGCCTGATCGAGTCAGTGAGTGATCATTCCAGATCAGTATCTAAAATCAATGTGACCACAGCTGCTGCTCTCATCCTGCAAAGCTACAAATCTCTAGTACTTACAGTTAAGGTGATGTTTAAGTCCATAGAGGGGCAGAGGTGTCAAATTTAAACTGAATCATTTTAAAAGTGTCATTTTTTAATATGATTTTGGTTTCACTTATGTCAGCCATCCACATAATATGTATTCCATTGGGTTTATCGTTGAATTAATTGTGGAGAGAAAAAACATGATTTGCGTATTTTTGGCACAAATATACAGTATGGACTAAATGAAGAGAGTGCATTTGTCCAAACAACTCAAACTGCTGTATTTTAACATTGAGGTTAACGCAGGGGTGTCAAACTAATTTTGGTTCAGGTGCCATATTCAGCCTGATTAAATGTTTGGGGGGCGGGACCAGTACAACCATAACATCATTACCTATAAACAACAATAGGTCCACTGAGCCCCCTTTGTTAGATAAGAATATATTCATATTGATGAATTACAATTTGACAAAACATCACAAAGGTGAAGTGTTTGTCCATTTTTTTCACTTTTAAAACTCATCAAACGGGCCGGATTAAACCCCCTAGTGGGACTGTTTTGGCCCTGGGGCCACATGTTTGACAACACTTGGTTAAAGTGATAGCACCTGATGTGACAATGCACACAAATGCACACACACAAAAAGAGTACAATTAAAAAATTTTTTGAACAGCTGTGGCGCACATACGTCCAATAACATTAGCCTCCATCTTTATTACACTCTCGGTAAACATCAATGTTGTACGATGCTAATGAGAGACTAGGGTTGGCCCAGCCATTAAATATTAAATATATTTAATTATATGTGTTACAGTATACAAGGGAAAGCCAAACCACTTCTAACACAGATCTTTAAGGTTGTCTGAAGGTGAACACTAGAACCTGTTCAGACTGGTCTCTGTGTCTCCAACAGCTTTGACAAGATTCATAATTATATCTTTGTCAAGTGTTGAGCTGTGTTACCTTTGATTGGACTGGGTTTTCTTAAAAATTTTATTTAACTACCAAGTTATTTTGAAAAATCAGAGCCAACTTCCTCCACAATTCTCTGATGGAAACACAACTCCAACAGTGTTAAGACTTAAATGGAGGATCAGCAGAAAAAAAGAAAAAAGTTTGTCTTGGAATTTTTTGACTCCCCTTGTATATTTGCTGTATATACCTCTGTGTATATAACTGAAGATGTACTTGTATTTATTTTAAGTCATTGATAATTTCGAGTTTCAAGAAATCGTATTCACCACGCTATCTAGAGTAAGAACGTGCGAAGTGCAGCTCAAATCTATGATTGTCAATTCACGCTGCGATGGCGTGTCGACACTGGTTGTCGTATGTTGACTGATGACAAAGCAGCGGAACAAAACAGTGCAGTAAATCACTAAAGTGCCGTTTTGGAAATGTATTTGGGATTAAAATATAGTTTTAATATTTGAGATAATAAACGATGACCACGAGTCACCAATGCTAAACGTGTAAAACGCAGAACGTGTGATATACGACTATACTAACGCTCTACGTTAAAAGGAATTTGTGCTTTGTACTATACATGTAAAACGCAGAACGTGTGATATACGAGGAATTTGTGCTTTGTACTATACTTCTCTTTTAAGTGTTCTTTTAATTTGTTATGAAAATAAAATGACATATTTCCGGTTCTATTGCAGCCAGAACAGTAAACAAATCTATGGCCTCCCTTCTGGACTTTTTTTCACCTTCATTGGTCAGCTCCATTTAGTTTATTCTGAACAATGAGATGTTGAGTCTCTACTCACTGTATTGCAATGCTATTTGTTTCCGACGTCAAGTGCTGACACCATAAACACGGTTTCCTAACGCTGAAACGCTACACCTTTGTTTCCAATATTTTTTACGGAGGTTAACAGAACTTTACGAAAATTATGGTTTTTCATATGATTCAAGTATCAGACGTTTTAAAGGCTAAGCTAACGTTAGGGATGACGACACAGACGAGACGTAGAGGAGGCACATTCAATGACCCTTGTGAAAAATGTAGTCTTACGATGGAAATTAAAATGGCAATTCTTCAAAATGGTCGTCCACTGTACGTCAACCCTCGAGGGAATTTCACCACGGGGAATAATTTCACCGATGGATTTTGCCCGTTTTTTTATTTTTGTTTTTTTACCAAACGTGAAAGGAAGGGCCTTGATTCTATTCCTTGGACGGACAAGGACGCAGGTTTGGAACTTGTTCTTGTATAATTTCAAAAACTCAGTTTGCTTTAAATTACATTATTTGAAGCTAAGGACTTCTAGTTGGACGACAGGTATGACCGATAGATTTGGCTCTAGACCAGAGTAAGGAAGTGGAAACAAAGAAGCTGAATACAGCCTGTTAAATCCAATTTAAAAATAAATCAGTTGACAAAGGCACAGCAGTGGATTATATGACGTAAACTTTGATATCAATATTTGACATGGAGCCTGTCAAATGACGGATTTTAAAGCTTCAAAACTAACTTAGGTTTTTCAACCAGAAAACGTTGCCCATTTTCCATTTTTCTTTTAATATTTGGTCCACGGTGGAGGCATCTTTATTTTCGGCTATTTTCAACGGGCTCTTCAGTCTTCCTTTTTTAAATGATTATTATTTATGGCACATTTAACACTTAAGCTGCAATGAAGGGGGGCGAAGGAAAGTGAAGGCTAACAATGCAGCGCTTAATCTCAACATACGGTACTTCTCTTTGAAGAATTCCACCTTACATTATTTTAATAAGTTGTCACGTCCGCATGTCGCTGCGGTTGATACGCACTAGAGGGTGCTCAACCTGCCCTACACAAAACAATTGTAATTTTTAAAATAAATCCATATATCTTTATTATGTCTTCAAAATGTATTTATATATTTTTTCAACGCCTACATCTTCAGAGCATTTGTTCTTGTACTGAGATGGTCCTTGTGTTTGGGTTAAAACACAAAAACGTGTATACTTGGCATTTTTTATTATACTGTATATCTTTGAAACGTTAATATATTGTAAAAATGGCTTCGTGAGTAGCCATAACTTTCTGTATTTTTATTTTGAGAGTAAACAGAAGTGTGTTTGTGTACTTGTATTTATCTTTGCGGGGACCTCCATTTGGATTAATTGGAATGAAGGTGTTTCTGATGAATGAGTGTCTTTGTATTTGTTGTGACCATAACACAAACAGATTTTAACCACTACACATTTTGCGTTTTGTGTTCTGGTCCGATCAATATAAAATGTGTTTGTTTTTTTAAGAACCGTCGCGTTTGCCACATTTTCACCTTTTAAATGAATATTTTAAAGATTGTATATTTTTGCTAGTTTCAAGTTGTACCAAGACGTCCGTGTCACATACATCCCTATCTCTATTTATGAATATTTATTCCTTGACACCGTGTGCCTGCCTATTGCACCTCCGCCCTCAAGCCTCTGCTAATGAAACAGCAAACACCTCTATTAATAGCTTATCTACCTTTACAATTCTGTGCAAACTGCAGGCTACGCTCTCTTCTTCCTGCATCCGAGCTTGATGACCAGTAGGGGAAGCAGTGGGCAAAGATGCTATTATACACATGTAACCCTATATCCGCTCTCGCTGTGATTAAACATAAATATCATAATTAAAACACAATATTTTGCTATATATCTTAATTTGCACTTTTCATAAAAACGCAAGTGTCATTAGTTCATCTTTTACTGTCACTGCTGACTGACGGTTTTTTCTTTTTTCGTACATCTTTGAGGGAAAAGTATTAAAGTGGTCTCCCAGTTCGAACCACATCCCTAACATCCCACCATCTTTAAACCGTGAGCTAATTTTACATCACCACTGATTCAGACATTTTTTTCCAGCGATTGTCTGTTAGGGCTTTGCGGGGTTTCGAGAATGTTTCCAGACATTCTCCATCTGCTGTAAAAGTGTCTGAAACCCAGAAAGTCTCCCACAGCCTTTCCTAAATGTGACCAGAAACTTTATACAATGTGATGTAGCACATGTCTGCTAACTAAAGCTAAGTCCACAACTTTCACTTTTTTTTTTTTTTTTACAGTGAGCAACTTTCCAAAACCATATATAAGAAGGGACGCAACCATCTGGTTGTAGAGGTGAAGACCTAGGAAGTGGCTTCACAAATGTAGCAGCTGTGAGCCCAGTGCTCTGAGAAACGACTCCCAGAATGCCACTGCTCTCATTGTCTTTCTTGCAAATAAATGGCTATGTCCACTTTTTATATACGATCTATGGACTCTGAACGCTATGCTGTGAATGGTTTATCTTCCCAAGCAGAAGTGCAAGCACCAATCAATTGTTTTTCCAGCACAGGCACTAATTAATTAAATGACGATAAACACTAAAGAGTCTAAATATAAGTCCCTTTTTCTCGGCATTTTGTCAAAATGAATGCACCCAACAATGGAGGACACCACTGCCACTGCTACTGCTGCGTTCGACAGGAGCAAAACTGTTCCGGAAGGCTGCCTCCATCATTATGGGTCAGGCACAAACACATTCAAAATGATAAAAGCCGTTAAAATTCTGACCCACGTGGGAAGGAATTCAAATTTAAAAGGAGGAATTTAAATTTGAATTATGATCATAAATATTTTGATCACGTCTTCCACGTGGGTACTACGCAACGTTTAATGAATTACGTCGGAATATACGGCTGCATTAATGAACGGTCCAATCCACAACAACCACAGGGCAGCTGGTCAGCTGGGTTTCTTGGTGGACAAAAAAAAGACCATGAATTCACCATATTACTAGTCAGCTAAATAAAAACCAAATCCTGCATAATATAGCCAGCCCAATTAGCCGATCCAGTGCCACTTAGCTACAACTTGCAACCATGGTATTGGTCTACCAATTGTGGATCATGACCCAGGATTTGACAGGTCTACAAAACCTGGGGGGGAGTTTGGGGAGTTCTTAAAAATTCTGCTCAGTGCCCTTTAATATTTTTGGACGGCCCTGCTGAATTGGATACAGTGCAGGAAGATGCACTAAGATGGATGAAAGGATGGATGGATTCTTGGCAGGTTCCGGTCAGTCGTTACCAGCCCTTGGTGGTCACAGGGACACAGACTAGATGTGGGACCTCAAGTCTTCTTCAGTCCTCCTGCTCGTCGCTGTCCCGCCGCGCGTCTGTCCTCTTCTCCTTGTGACACGTGAAAATCCGCCGCATCTCCTCCTCGTACCTGATGAAGTTCTCTCCGAACCGGGCCCAGGCTTTAAGCGGCACCGTGATGGTGTTCCGGTACGGCTGGCGCACCTCGCTGATCTTTAGGAAGACACCATAGCGGTTCGAACCCACGTCGAAGTAGAACCTCTTGTTGTCCACACGAAAGGACGCGGCCTCGGGCAGTTCTGGACTGTCGTCTTCGCCTCCGTGGTTCCGAGAGCCGGTTCGGCCGCGGTCGTCGCTGTCCTCGTCCCCGTAGTCCTCGATGAGCTGCGACAGCGCGTCTCGGAACTCGATGAGCCCCTGCGCGGGCAGGACTATGGTCTGTTCGATGCCCTGGCCATAGTAGCCCATGGTTCCGTGGCCTTTGCTGACGGTCTGCCGGATGCGCAGGAAGCGGCCGCGCTGGTTCTCCTTCAAGTCCAGGAAGTACTTTCTGTTGTCGCGCTCGATGAACTCACTCTTGAGGACGCGGTGCGCATGGTCGTCAGACGCGGGGGAACCGGGAGGCGACAGCGCGGTAGAACTCTGCTGCTGCTCTTGCGCTCTCCGGTGCGAGCGGCCCTGGCTGTTGCCGCCTCCTCCGCCGCTCTGCTCCTCCGTATGCGCCGGCTGTGGTGCCAAACCACCGCGCAGCCCGATGCGGGCGTAGTAATCTATAAAGTCTCCCAGGCAATAGCGCAGCGCGGGCGCCATGGCCATGGACAGCGTCAGTTTGCTTTTCCTGGGCCGGCCGCGGCCGATCCACACCTCCGCGATCTTCAGGAAGCGGCCGCGGACGCTCTGCTTCACGTCCAGGTAGAAGCGTTTTTTCTGGATGTCAACGCGTTTGGAGGCCAGCTCCTGGATGTCTGCGCTCTGCTGCTGCTGCTGCTGCTGCTGCGCTGCCGCCGCTGCCGCCGCGGCTGCTGCGCTTTGCACATACTGCTGCTGCTGCTGTGGCGGCGACGCGTACGCAGCTCTGTGCAGCGGCTCCGCTGCCACCTTCCCCCGGCTCCTCTCCATCCCTCTGCAGCATCCATCAGCCATCATGATCACAGCTCAGGACGAAGCTCTTCCCCCATCCCACACAACACAACTTTCACCCAGATGCCTCGGTTGACCTGAAAATGGCAGCCAGTGATTCTCAGCTGTTCCCTGTCCGCGGTGAAATAATTAAAAAAATAAAAAAATCAGACTTCGATCATTTCACTGAAACCTTCCAGCCTCGGAAGCAGAAGATTCTGCAGCAGCAGGTTCCTTCTTCACCCAGAGACTGATCATCATCCCCGGACTCAGAGAGAGCAGGGAGCGGGGAGGCAGCAGACCTGAGGAGGAGGTGGAGAGGAGGAGGAGGAGGAGGAGGAGGAGGCGTTCGTACTACATGAACCCATTGAACCCATCCACCCCCCCTCTCTGTCCTTAGAATACCTCTGTGAAAGAGGCAGGGGGGGGAGGAGGAGGAGGAGGATGAGGAAGAGGAGGAGCAGGAGTACTCTTCATCACCTCTGCAGATACATGCTCACTGACAGCATTTGTTCATTTAGGGAGTCTCAGAAAACACAAAATGACATTTTATTTACGTCTTGCTTTCTTTAGTGACACATTTTCCATATTTCTTTTTTAAAAGTAGTATTTATTGAATGGTAGAGTACGCAGCAAATTACAATAAGAAATTCATACAAATCACTGTCACTACTTGGTATATATTTCCTAGTTTTTCACGCTATATTAAGAAATGCTTCTGGTCTAGTGTGCATAGTTACCAGTAAAACACAGACCTGGTAAAAGAAAAAAAAAACAAAAATCAGCAAAGGTTCAGTCAGATTTGTAGTGGTGATGCTAGCTTTAAAAGATCAGAGATCTAGCATTAAAAGATGAATGAAAGAATTGACAGAGGATTACTGTAACAGTTTGGTCACCATTACTGCTGATACTGGTCAGCACTGACATACAGTACATGCAACAGACGGAGAAAATTGATTTATGGAAGGCCGGCCGGCCATCGTACAGAAAGGAGTTTAGTTACCCAAGGACACAATGCTAAATCAGCACAAATCCCAATTTGAACAATAGAACTGTTTGAATTTTTAGTTAGGGTTGACTACGTTTAATTTGAATCAATTGACTAAAACAAAAATTGACCTTTTGTGGTCTCATCACCATCTCCCATACATGTATAAATTTGCTGTTCCCTCGTTTTGATGAACAGCGTTAAAACGGATTCTGCACGGGAACTAGTTGGCAAGTACAGTGAATGAACGCGTTGTTACGCTGCACTATATGCAGACGATGGCTTTGTTTACATTCACTGGTTGTCACCCTACATTGTGCTACAATCAAGTGTAATTCAGACTTGTCTGACGTGCTTATGATCTATGTTATGAGGTTACCACATTGTTAGCATAGGTGAGTCACATATTAATTCAGACTTGTCTGACGTGCTTATGTTCTAATGTTACCACCTTGTTAGCATAGGTGAGTCACATAGGTACTTGTCCACAGCACCTGATTGGACTTTGGCCCTGCCTTTAGCTTTTATTTAACTAACCCAACAACATGTCATTAAGTTCACCTTACTCCCCAGTTAGTATTCTTTCTAGGAAGTAAAGTCTCCTACTAAGTCTTAGACAAAAACGGAGGCAACAAAATAAACATGGCTGAGGGATCGTCAATCTTTAGATGTTAAAACAAAAAAAAAATCAAAACAAGCCTGTGGACTGACCTGATCTCAGTAAGTGTGAAGGTAAGGAGCAGCCAACATTAGCAGAGTCAGTTCAACATTTATTTCATCTTTTAAACATTGACAGTTATTGGCAGGAGCTGATAAATACTAGACATGTGTTGTGATTGTAATAAAGGTGCGTTCACTGCTACATTTTTAATGTACATAGTAAGCGAAGCTGAGGACGTTCACAGGTGAAATGAGCATTTTAATGCCTCATCCATATGCACACAAGTGCCTTTCTTAGTCAATACTTGTTATTTATCTCCCTCCACATTGAAATGCTTCCTGGGGCAGTCAAAAGAAGCATGTGATGTAACAGTATAAAGACCTGACGGCCAATAAGATGCCGGAAAAACAGGTCTATGGGAGAATACACCCAGAAGTTTCCAAAAAAGGAGGTAACCTTGTTCTGTCAGTTTCCTTCCATCTCTTGGAAAAATATCAAAATTATTAAAAAAAAAAAAAAATGTCAGCGACAAAGTTAAGCTGCAGACATGAAATGATTACAGACAAACGAACAAAAGACACAAAAAGGACATGATATTATTTGAAATCTTTGACACGAAAAACACTGGCATTAGTCTATACATCACATGGTCAGTCCATCAGGGTCCTCAGCTTCAGAGTTTTTAAAAACAGTCTGTAGACCTGCAGAATCACAACATGTCTCTTGAAAACCAAACCTCACACAAGTCTCTTATATGGCTGTCACTTTTTGCCCAAGACGGGAATATTCTATACCTAGTCTCAGGATGTCTGAAGAAGAGTTTCTGTGTGATCCAGCAAAAGTCAACAGGCACATTCAAATATTTGCAGAACCGTGGCATTTTACATTTAAACACAAAGGTTCAAACTATTTAAGAAGAATGATGATTTTTGCAGTACTCACTGCATGCTCCAGTAGAGGGAGCAAAAACGCAGCTAATGCACAAAGTCTGTATTTCTTGTGTTATATATCAGGCACTCAAAAATTAGCTTGATTTGAAAGTAAGACATCGGGCCAGAAAGACAATGACAAGTGATAAATTGATCAGCTACTGTATGTACATGTTTTCGGGGTTACTCGTAAAGTACAAGATCAATACGCTTAAATTAGGTCTCGTGTTTAAACTGTTGTTTGTTAAAAATGTAATTTGTTAAAAATTTGTATGGATAGGAGCACATTTGTTTTTCTCATGTACATTAGGTACAACAAGTCTACAGTATCAGCTGGTCCAGATTAAAACACAAGAGCTAATGTACCAGATGACTGGGTTCAAAGCCAAAGAAGTCTTCAAATGTTCAATAAAATGGCTGTCACTGGACTAGTCTGTGAATGTAGTAGTGAGGAAAAATGTACTAAAAAACAAAGATGAAAAATGTACATTTTTGTTTGTCAACTCTACCTGGATTAAAATTGATTAATAACCAAGCTTCTAAATAAACAGGTCATTTTTTGTAATGATGTCTCACTACTAGTTCAAATATTCCCCAGATGTATGTTACATACATCTGTTTGGCTTGATTCCTGGTTAAAAACAACATTCCAAGTGTTATTAACATTAACATGCAGACATCTCCCCAGCAGGGCATGTCTGTTTTTTTTTTTTGTACATTTTTGTACAGTCTATTTACATGTACTTAATACATATGTCAGCTTAAACTATACTGTAATGTTGAACCTCCACAGGAGGGAGCTACTGCAGCTCACACCTTGAAGACATTTTCAAGTGTATCCTGTTGGATGTTCAGTGCAGCGCAGAGCGTCCACGTACGTGCGTCCAAGATTTTTTTTAAGTTTTGAAAGCTAATGACCCACGAGTGAATATTTTGTAGCGTTTTATCTCTGTTCTCACTGGGGTCTGTAGCCTCCCAGCTGAGGTGTGTAGCTGGAGGGCGGACCTGATGCTGAACAGTGTTCGGTGACCTGGTCCTCAGAGGACAGCTGCTGCGTGTCCTCCTCCAGTGGACAGAAGTCCAGATTCTCCAGGTCTTCCGGCTGCTCCGTCTCCAGTAGCTGATTGAAACTGTTGCGGTTTCCGGCAGCGTGTCGGAGGAAGCACTGCGACTGTCGGCTGCCCTCCTGCGACAGGTCTGGGTTCTCCTCAGAGTCCAGCAGGGGCTGAGTGGACTCCGAGCGCAAAAACACCGTCTGTGACGGCTGAGGCTGGAAGTTTGGTGTCTGACCTTTGTAACCACTGGAGGCCACCACTGAGGAATACTGCACAGTGCTGGCTGTGGTGTCTGCAATGTCGCCGCCCTCATCACTGTCGGACACGCTCTGACGAGGCGAGGACATGCAGGACGACCCGCCGATGCCGCTGCTGTGCTCCTCTGACAGATACTTGTCCTTCTTCAGCGGTAGACCGGGCTTGTCTTCCTCAAACACACACTTCTCATCACATGCATCCACGTCCAGTACACTGATGCCAGAAAGACAGTTCTCCTTTGGTGCTTCCGCCTGTAGAGGGCGACAAAACCTTAATAATCCTAATATAGTTGGAAGAAGCTACATTTTATGGCCAACAAATGTGGGGCTCACCCAAATAATATCATTCTAAAAATACTACCTTCACAACGAGGGTATCTTATAACACATACATTTATATATCTGTTTTAGTACCACGGAGTAAATGGTGGTGAATCTGTGAGCAGCCGTTGAAAAAAACCCAAGCATCTCAGGCTGGTTCCTTATGCAGTGGTTGCTCACAGTTCAGGCAGCTCTGATTTTTGTACAAGTACATATTTAAAGCCAGCGAATGTCCAGTTTCTTACTCTCAAAGAATAGTCTGGAGACCAGTTTCCAATGGTGCTCTCTCCAGGGTTTGGAATCTCTGGCCAGAAGTTTCTCTTGATCCTAGAAAGACATTAGAGATATTAGTAAGTTCATAAAAGTCCTTCTAAGTTTCTCTCCCTAACGCCAAACTCTTTTGCAAGGAGAATGGAAATGGCTGTGGTAAACTCTTATTTCCAAAAGAAAGAGGAACACAGGGTGTTCTTCTACTCTGACTCCAACTATATGTCCTCTTTGTCTCCTACCTGGTAGCTCCATCTCTAACATTCTTCTACCAATGTATCCACTGTCCCTCCTCTGCACATGTCCAAACCATCTCAATCTGGCTTCTCTAGCTTTTTCTCCAACCCTTCCTGTCTGTGTTGTCCCTCTAATGACCTGTGCAAGACTGTAATAATAACTGTAATGCCTCTTGCCACATAGTAAAGTGCTGCAATGTAACTTACATGTCTTTCTTGTAGGTACAGAGCAACACCGTCATGATGACCACAAACAGGAAGGCAAAACTCACACCAACCACGATCCATTCAATCTCTCCTGGCGCTGGAGAAAAATAATTATTAAAAAAAAGAAATCAGGAAATTTTAGTAAAGCTGGGATTTTTGGTCTGATTAATAGTTTTTTTTTTCCTTTTTTAAAAAAAAGAAAACCCTCACCATATTTCAGAGTTGTGAACGAGTGACTGTTGCCTTCTGTGGAGCCCACAGTGGTGGTCGCAGTGACCCAGACGTCGTACTTGGTGTTGCCAATCAATGAGGTCAGTGTGTAGGTGGTAGTGTTGGAAGGAACCACTACAGCTGGATAAGAAATACAGCAGAGATGAGGCAGGATATCAAGTCTGTGCTGTGTGGTGCATGTTAATAAGACCTTGAGTTTGGAACATACAGTGGACTTCACTTCCAGACGTGTAGGAAATGATGTATGTTCTGATAAAGCCTTGTAGACTGCTCTGGGGAATCGACCAGACCAGCTCAGCCTCACTGCGACCTGGTTTACCCTTTAGACGAACACTGGGGCCCTGAAGAGGAGCTGAAACCACGAGCCAATCACCACATTAGACTTGGAGGCTTTAACTTGACAGAAACTGACATTAGGAAAAACATGCATGTGGCTGAAACAGACATGTAATAATGTCACTGACTCTATATGGGAGCATGAACTCACCGCCTTCTTCTAGATAAGCTTGCACACTGGCTGACGATCCTGGCCAATCATTATGCAGCGGGTATACAGACACAGTGTAGCGGACAAACTTCTGCAGATCACCTTTATTAGAAGACAAGAACCAAAGTTTCAGAAACCAGGAATCGTAGCATCAGAATGATGACAACGGCATAAAAGTCAACGGGTGGTTCACAGATTTTGGGTGAAAGATCATTCTTTAACATAACAGTGACTGACCTTTAATGAACGTTTTTGTAGTATTTCTGTTCTCCCTCTGCCAGTCTATCACATCACCAGTGACCCACTCCACCACATACTCTGTCACATGGTGATCATTGGGAGCCTTCCACTCCACCCACAGTTTGCCATCATCGGGCCACGCCCTCATACTCTCCACTCGGGGGAGCACTACAACAACAAATGTACATTTTTCATGACACGCCTTGATTTAAGAATTTACAGATTTTTTTTAAACTTTTTGCAATGAACACAGCTACATCAGGTATGGCTAACTCTAACCCCAGTCTGTTATGCTTTTGGTTGACTTGCAGTTCTTTGTCAACTAATCTAGCTTGCTGTGCAGCTGATAATCTTTGAAGTACACCTGGCTGTGCAGCTGATAATCTTTGAAGTACATTTTGAGGCAAATCGCAGCTTTTTGAGCCATCTTTTAGCCACCTGGGGTAATATTTACTTGACTTTATGTACAATTGTGACATGTCAAAAACCTAAAAAAAAAAATTCTTTAAATGTAACTCACAGTGGTGAAAACCTACCGCGTTCTTTTTCAGGGATGATTAGTGATGCTCTGGGAGACTTTCCCACAGAGTTAATGGCAAAGACGAGCACTCTGACAGCTGTCTTGTCTTTTAGAAGAATCTCCTTTAGGGCGGTTACTGGCCTCCGGGTGGTGCTGTCGTCAGACCTGTTAACTGGAACACTCAACTCCAACTTACTGCCTGGAATCATGGCTTTATCCTTGTGCTCCTGAATGCTCACGTCAAATCTGAGGATCTTCCCGTTGGTTGACAGGGGATCCTGGAAGAACAGTCCCATTTTGAATTAGGGGTGGGTAAAAATATTGATTCGGCAATGCATTGCAACCCTCCCTCCCATTCAATATCGATTCAGCAATCTTCTGAATCGATTCAAGCACCTCGTGTTGAAGGACAGCACAAGGACAACATGGAGAACAGTGCCTCCTGCTGTCGGAAAGGAGCACCTACAGAGTCAATCGGAGCAGTGGGGAGGATCTTGCTGCTACAGTGTCAGTTGGCAGTGAGAGGTGTGTCAGTAGTTAACATCAGTGAGTTTAAGTCTAAGTATATATAAATGTTGCTGTGCTTTTTATTTATTTGTTATTAGTGTGAGAGTGTGTCTTCATAAACCAGTGAGTGAGTTGTTTATGGTTGTCTGCGTTATGTATTGTTACCCGTCTAGTGGTTATGTTGATTAGCTGGTTAATTGTGGTTAATTAAGTGTGCTAATGTTAGGCCAAAGCATTCAATGTCTGTTACAGTTTTTTGATGTTAATTGACTAGGGTGTGTGTAATTCAGCTATTTCTTGGTTAATTATAACTACTGGTATGTAAATAATTATTATATGCTATTCTGATTCTGACCTATGCCTCCCAGTGCCACAAGCTATAAATACCAGCAAATTATACAGTATTTTCCAAGACCTCTGGCCAGTGGGGACACTGTCATCTTTTAATTTAATTTTGTACACAATATTAAGTACTAATGTTACTGTGCTGATACCTTATTTTCAGATGTGCTATTGGTCAAGTTATACCATGGCTATAACATATACATATGGGCACAGAACTAAATAATTGTTTAAATTTGTTTGCTACACTAGTTGTTTTTGTATTGCTACTTGACAATGAATCAATATTGAATCATTTAGCTCAAAATCAAATCGAATTGATATTACATCAAAACGTGACTAAAAGAAATTAAATCGAACCATTCGATTGTTTTTGTAATACACAGCCCTATTTAGACGCCACTGCAACCTTCATTTTTGGCAGTTCATCTGAGAGTCAATGTTAAAATATATACAGTATATATAAAAACATTAAACAATAGAAGAGTTGTTACATTACCTTACAGAATATCTGGACTCTTCGTTCACCAGTATCGTTGCCATCAGAAATAAATTTCCATAAATCGGGTTTACTTTTTGGCCCTGGGATGAGGCAGACAGAAACACCCTTGACAAACAGAATCACACACTATATTGAACCGATTAGTGTCATCATAAAACGTACGGTCCTCCAGTGTCCGCTGGGTGGCATTGGTGCTCCAGTCACTCCAGTAACCATAGTCATTTTTCTTTTTGCAACGAAGCTGAATCACATAAACTGTGTCAGGCACAAGGTCTTGGATTCTGAAGGATTCAATGTCTTCTCTGATGTCAGCAGTAGGTACCTGAAACAAGACAAGAGAAAAACAAAGTTTGACATTAATATTACACTGAGCGGTCACAGTGTTCCTGGATTGGATGGATCGTTCCTGACCTTCAAGGAATATTTAAATAACTAATAAGAGATCAATCATGGAAATTAGAGATGCACCAATCGACTGGCTACTAACTGGAGTTTATCAGGAATGGACCTTCACCAGGAACCGACCACACGGCACATACAGTATCTTGCAGATAAGAGATCAATAAGATAATCCATAAGGAATCATCTGAAGGTGATATCTATTAGAGGTGTGACAAGATCTCATGCCACTAGAATAAGCAAGACTAAAGTATTAACAATATTTCTCGTTTAATTGATCAGCTGTCTGGTGGGCACAGAGCAGAAACCTATCACTGCGAGCTGTCCTCACTTCTATTTGCGACCTGTGGGGGGCAGTAATGCAACTTTTTTTTTTTTTACATCAAGTCCAGGGTTAATTTTGTTGATGAAAAATAATTGTCAACCAACCAAAGTGAAACTCTTATGATATTAAGTTGACTAAAATTAGATGGCGAATAAAATATTGCAGATGACTAAAATATGATTAAAACTAAATAGTGTGTTATTCAGAAGACCAAAACTAAGTCAGAATTTGCTGTCAAACACTGGCCTGTCATTAACAGTGGCCTGGTCTGTATCATGCTTTGAAAGAAAGTTTCTGTTAGCACTTTTTTGTACTTTGATTACTATTTTGCTCATATTGTTTTCACTTAAATAGAAATATTTAATTTATTAAGCTTCAGTTGTCAAGTTACCACTGGTAACTGAGGTGCTCTGAGCATGGCACCATCCCCACACACTGCTCCCCGGGCGCTTAAAGCTGCCCCCTGCTCAGTTATACTGTATATTATCTTGCCTTGTGAGCTCAGTGTCTGTGTATCGTCGCACCCGCTCCCCGGGCGCTTAAAGCTGCCCCCGGCTCAGTTAAATAAAGTACATTTGTCCAGTCGATTTTTAAAAATGTTTTCCTCTTGTTTCTGTTGAAGACAATACTGTATATTATCTTGCCTTGTGAGCTCAGTGTCTGTGTATCGTCGCACCCCTAATATCCATCACAGAATTGACATTTTAAACAAAAAAAGGGGGTTTTAAATCCCCATCCCCTCTGAATATAAAGCAAAAGATGACATCACTTACATCTGTCCAGGTGTTTGCTCCACTTTGACAGTATCTGATTTCGTATGTTATTACAGCTGAGTATTGTTTTGCAATGGGACGACTCCAGTTCAGGAGCAGGGTGGTGGGAAAACTACTTTCTGACAAGATCATCACATCTACTGGAGGCAGTTTTACTAAAAAGACGAAACAAGAGAGAGACAGTCAAGACGAGATTGTCATCTTTAAATCATTTCTTAGGATAGTTTGCCATGAAACTCACCAAAGGAATCAGCGTTATGTTTTAAAACGTCCGATTGGACCACTCCCAGAATGTTGTGTGCCTCCACCCAAATGTGCACTTCCATATAAAATGGAAAAACATCCATAGACACTGTGGCACTTGTCTCATTAGTCTTCACATTGTAGTTTATGTCCATCCTGTCAACAATGAATATCTTTTAGACTTTTCTTTTTAAAAACATCTATGACACATTTCTAACTTGACACAATCATTGTGGAATGTCAGGAACATCTGAATGTGTTCTCACCAATGTATTTTGAAATGTAGTGTGTACATTGTAGGATATTTGTTTATTTGACGTCCCACTGTGTTCCAGCTGCAGGTTACAGTTGCCGCGATTTTGTCTTCCTTCAGGAGAGCAATACACGACAGGTTCTCAGGCTTCATTGGAGAATCTGACACCAAACACACAGATGTGACAAGTTAGTAAGGGTGGGGACAAGGTCACTTGGAATTTTTTTCACATTTTGTTAACTTGTGGTTCTTTTTCTTTTTTTTTTTTTTTTGAGGTCGCAAAAACAATCAATGAAGTACGGGTAAGTAACAGCTTACTGGTGAGACAAAAAGTCTCGTTATTGAAGCTTTTTCACACTAGCTGAGGTGTGTGGAGGACACACTAAAAATGAGATTTTGGACATGTGAGATTGGCATTGGACCACCATAACTGGGCTGACCCCGAAAATTGTTTAAATTTATTATTAATTTAATGAAACAGATTCACCGACTAAAAACAATTTCCTGTTTGTGTCACTGTTTGCATCCTTCTCAGCTAAGACCAGTTCAATTGATCTTCCATTTACTTCAGTGTCACAGACATTCACTCGCCTGTGAACATGTTTGTGCATCCGTGGCACTTCAATATTACTAATTGTGGTCCAATATTACTAATTGTCACTTTTTTTTTAAAGTGAAAAGGAACAATATGAAAAGGCAGTTCCTACAGGAAGAAACCGAGGGAATGAAAATGGCGTCACCTGAACGTGTTTTTGAAAATTTTGTTTAGAAACCAAGAACCAAACTGGCAAATAAAATCACACATTAAAAAAAACTCACAGGCTTTGCGCAGAAGGATGGCATGGACAAAATCGGCCTCGTGTAATTCCACATAGTTGGACACCTTTCGACTACGGCAGAACAACCATTCTTCAGAGTTTTCACCACTGACTTGGATGGTTACATTGAGGGTAGTATTGTTGACTTTGGTGTACTGCTCTTTAGGCACAGTTGTCTCGGAAGCAATCCAGTAGAGGTCATCAGAGGTGACCTCAGTGGTGTTGATGATCATACAAGATGCTGTGAAGTTGGTGCCAATCTCTAACACGTTGGGATGTGGAGCCGTCAACAAGTGGCTATTAATTGCTGTGGAGGAAGAAAGGAAAGGGGAGGAAAAGTGAGGATGTGGACAAACTCATGCCAAAATGAATGAGTCACATTTTTGCAATTCATTACTCACGCTGTGAGTCAGCAAGTAGGCCACACATATCCCCACAAAAAACCCAAACCTAACATATGATGCACAGTAACATATAATATCCAGGCTTCCATTCAAGCTTAGACTTATAGAAATTTTTTTTTTTAATTGCAGGAACATACTGTATTTTGTCCCACACACAACTGAAGTACTTCTGTCTAATTATGTGTAGTATGCATAGCACATAAATGTATGCAACGTTTTTACATTCACAGGTTGCACAATCTACAATCTCCTCGCAGCTTTACTGAGCACCAGAAAAAGTATACAATCACAGAGGAAGCACAAGGTTGAACTACTGGACTGTACTGGGACTGAACTGACACACAGGTCATGTTCAATGACCTCAAACTAGGCAAACAAGCCACTCTGTTAACAGAAAACTGTTTAAATAAATGTCCCCTAAGAAGGACAAATAAGACAGCAAATGAATTCCTATCTTTGTTTACTTTGCAGAGGCCCTGAAAGCAACACAAACCAATTACAGGACACACTGCTGGTGTTTATGCATCACAGGCAGTAAGCCACTCCAGAAAGCCTACACTGTAATAACAAAAAACAATCAGGTGCTACGGGTGTCAGGCCTTTGTGACATTTAAAACTGATCTAAAAATGTTTCAGATCCTTCTTTTTACAGCTTTAAATCTCAAGTTGCCAGATGTTCCTGACTGATGATCAAATCATTAAATATAATTAAGTATTTTGGCAATATAAAGAAAGACAGCAATGGGCATGCACCAACTGCTTGCTTCAGCCAGTATGTGTGACACAGCACTGTCACAAATGGGGCAACGCCCATCGCTACCGCACCTCACCCTTTTCCAATGTATTTGAACAAATGTTTAAATTCAGAAATTTTGATCATAGAAATGTTAAAATCATACAGAAAACCCATTTTTATCACATATATAACAGTCAAGTGGACACATTGATTTTCTTTTGTCATCGTTAGTATTTAGAGGCAGGGGGGGGGACACCCTGCCTCCGCCGACTGCACTTCTTATCCCCACCAAGCCGTGTACAACATGCCTTGTCCATTCAATCTCAACTCAATCTCTCTTGTGTCTCTAACTTTATTTCCAAACTGCTTCTAATTCTGTCCTGGTCACTCAAAATGAAAATCTCAGCCTCTAGCTCTCCCACCTCCATTTTTTTAGATGTAGACACTGTCTCCAAACCAAATATCATAGCACACCTACAATCTTGTGCACCTTTTCATCACCCCGACACTCATCTCCACCCAGTCCACTCTCTTTGCCAGATCTTCATCACTTATTTGTGCATCATTGCTTTGTGTGGCTGAGCCAAGTTTCTTACCTAATGCACCTCCACACCCTGCACCTACACATCTTTATCTACTTTACATCAGGATGCCTGCTGTAACTACGGTTAATTAAATTGTATGCAATGTTGACACACTGTTATATACAGCCTGAGAAGAGACAACAGAGACTATGGACAAAAGTAAACCAGCACTTACCTGCAATGAATGGAGAAGTAAAACAGGCCAACAGCAGCAGCTGTAGTGCTCCTGTAGACATGATGAAGAGCTGGGAACATTAAAACAGCATGTTAGAGAGGGGAACCGTATCAGTGTTACACCATTTCAAAATCAAGGTATAACTAAAAAAACTGATATTACTTAACAATAACACTGAGTTCTTAAAATAAACTGTCCCATTTATGTATTATAGTAACACAATGATGATAGCTTAGCAATTAAGCTAGCAGAGACGTTCTCACTGGGAAACTTAGTATCTAATACCTGGGAATATGTTCCTAATAGATTTAAAAAGAAGTTGTTGTCGTCATAACAATATTAACATTATTACTATGGGAAGGTAAAAATACAAACAAACAAATTATTAATCACAAATAAGATAACAGAAATAAACAAACATGGTTGATATGTAATTTCTGCCTTAATTAATTCAGATTCTTTAAATATTGTATTTTTGACGCTGCAGACCAAATTTAGTTAAATGCAAATCCTTGAAAGTAAATAAAACTAAGAATAGAAATACATGAAGAGCGAAATAAAAACAAACAAACAAAAAAAAATAAAGTCACTAAATTTGAATGTAGATTCCCAAACTGAAGCAAATAATCACGTCGACAAAAAAAAACATTTTTTTTTTACAATTTAAATACAATGTATTTAAGTATGTTGAAACTGTGTGGTTTAACAGTCTGGTGTAACCCCATTTTTGCCTTATTTACAATTTATTCTGAATTATAAAACATAACACATTTACATATATATAGAAATGTTTAAAAAAAATAATACTTGTTAAGAATCTAAAAAAACCCGATGTCCGGCGGTGGTTCGAAGTGCGCACATTATCGTCAAAGCTGCGGTGTAATAATAGTTAGAAGAAGATGCTAACAGTGTCAGCCATGTTGTTTACTACGTGAAAAGCAGCCACGGATTGCTGTCACTTACCTCAGTATGCCACCAGCGTCTGACAGTATCCTTCTTAAATCACTAACATCCTTATTTATCACTTTAGCAACACGAATAAATAAATAAAGTGAGCTAAGTTTATGTGAACTACCATTCTAGACCAGCGACTTACCACTTCTGGTGCGGGACCAACCCCTTCCCGTCAGCTAGCACTGATGTCGCAACCACCCCGCGGCGCTGCGCCAACCGGCTGCTGCTAATCTGTAAATGAATGGATAGACCGCATTAACAACCGCCTGGTGTGCAGATAGTATAGAAATCTGCTCCCAGGAACGGCTCCGAAAATATTGTATGGCGATTGGTTTAAAAACCAATCAGTTAAAAACTACGGACCAATCATCGACTTCATATTCAGAGCCCGATCAGTGACTGCTTTTTTCCGGGATGTCTCCACCCAGAGTGCTGCCCACCAGGGTTCTAGAGAAGTGTTAAGTAAACATTAGGTTGTACCTAAAACGTAGCAATAGAATAGAATAGAGTAGAATAGAACTTAGACTGTTCTATCTTACTACCATCCAGCTGTCCTTACATGGTTTGGTGTGGGATAAATTGATAGAAATCAATTTTTTTGAAATTCTTTGTCCTAACATGGCAAAAACTATTTTCTAGTTTTGATAAAATGGGCTGTATTAAGGTTAAAGATCTATGGGCTATGTTTGAAATTTCAGCCGAGTGCACAGTAGTTGGGCACACTGACATTGGCCATTTTACTTGTCCAGTGACCTGTATCTGGTGCACAGGAACAAAGGCCAAACAGTTTGACTAAAGCTGGCACTCATGTGTGTGCCGCATTTTTCCTTGACAGTTCCAAAACAGTTGAACTCATATTTAGAGTGGCAATAGGCAGGTGTGACCACCACAGTAGATGGTCAAATTTCTTTTCCTCAAACTCAACATTTGAAAGAAACCTGATTTCAGTTAGTGAACAGACAAAGAAGCAAGGTTATGAACAGGTGTCCAAAGACATCCTCTAGGATACTAAAAAGAAGAAATTCTTGATGGAAACACCAATGTAAAGAAATTGCTCAATTTGAGTTAGAGGTTTTGACTTCCCCTTTTAGGAAATTCACTTGGGCTCTATGGCTAATAATTTATTAAAATGCTATATCTTTTAAAGTCTATTAGTTGTTTTAACGCATTAACGCAGCAGTTAATGTATTAGCATCTAGCTGCAGTTAGCATTTATGCTATGAACAGCCATCTTGAATTTCTGATGGCTTAAAATCACAACCAGAGCTTTACATGTTTTTAGGAATTTCTATTTAAGAAAAAAATCTAATGAAAACATTTTTATGATTATATTTAAATAATGTTTAAATAATCATAGGTTTATGTATTCAAATAAATACTATGTGTGTTTTTTCTTCCAAACAATTGGAACAGTTAGAACTAACAAGTTCTCTTAAATGAAAGGCAAAATTAGCAGTTAATATTTAACTGTGAGCTACTGATGTAAAAAACAGCCATCTTGGATTTTAAATGTGTAGCTTAACAATCATAAACAATTTTTTGTTATCAAGATGAGTAGGCATATAAACTCTTTCTATTCAGGTTTTCAGTCACTTAGTGTAGGGGTTATGTACCAGAATGTTCCAGCAGCAAGTCAGAACTGAAACAAATCTGAAAATCTTAAACTCAGCAGTAAAATTATTAACATAGAGCTACATTACCAACCTTGCATTCTAACGCAGAGTTAGCACTGAGGCTAAAAATAGTCTCCTCTCCCTGTGAGCAGCTTTGACTGACTACATATAAATAGAGGAAGTGAAACGTTTGCTTTACTCTTGAATTTGTTTAACACCGCACACTGTAAGACAAGCCACATCATCAGAGGTTTCATGAAATGACTCTTTATTATCTCAGAAAGGCACTTTTTGTCAATGTTTGTTTCAGCTCCCAGCACTTGATTTGCATCATCTTCCAACAGGTCTGCTATTTACGATGCACTGTAATCTCACATTTAAAGCATGGCAAGAGTTCTTAGTATGACACATGTGGTATTGATATTACGGTGATAGTAAAATCTATTGTTAGAAAATAAAACTGAAATTGAAATGAATGTTTTCTATCTGCAAAAATCTTAAGTCATGGCATTTACTCAAATTTAGCCAAAACTTTGCACATTGCATGACTTACAACTAAAAATAAAATATTATATCATTGTGTTTTACTAGCAATCAGGAAATAATGAAAGCCATTTGAAGACTTTAGCTTGTTAGTTATGTTAAAATGATGGTTGCAGAGGTGACCAAGCCTTTGTTGTTGGACTAAAATCATGAATGGTAATCTACAGGGAAAGAAGTCTTTTCTCCGTCAATACATAAAGTCAATACACATTTTGAGTTTATGGGCTCATTGTTCAAAATCCATTTGAAATTAAGAATAGAAATTGTACACCACAGATAATTCCAGACAGAAAAATCTCAGGGGACTGGAATTTTACAATAAAAATAATGGTTGTTATGAGAATCTGTGCTATTTGAAACATTAGGAGACATTTTTACATGGCATCAACTTTCACAACAAAATTATTACTCTGATATAACATAATCCCACATTTGTAAGGGATTCTGAACTCACTTCTCCACCACAACAACAGATGGTAGTGTCAAATGTTATTTTAAACCCAGTGTCACTGCTGTTCATTTTTGTATTGACTCTGTCTTTGTGCCGCAAGCTTTAAATTGAATGTGAAACCATTACTTTTTTAAAACGCTTTAACCTTTTTAAATTGTAAGCACCATATTTACGTATTTCGCTGAACTACTGCACTAATCTTTCTAGAGATTGTTGAGCTCCAGAAGAGTTTGGTCCAACACCTGGTGCATGTCCAGGTTCTCCTCCTTGGCCTGGGCCAGATTGTCTGCAGAAGGAAACAAATTTGGGACAAGTGAGATATACTATAATTATTTTCATTTTCTGTTCAAACTTTACTAAGCCTTATCCTGCTATCCTAACTGAAGTGGCCTGAAGAAAACAACAGTTACCTGCTAATTCAAGTGCTGATATGACAGTTTGTCTGAGTCAGAGAGACACACACATATATATATAAAAGGCCATATGTTGCTCCCGAGCCGTAGGTTGTCCATGCCTGTCCTAGGTCAAAGATCCCAATTTGAGAAAAAGACAACTGGTACCATGTGGTCCACTACGTACCGAGCTCTCTTTCCTTAATGTTCTAATACTGTAACAATAGCATCTCATTCTATTCCATTAGCCTGGTTTCATCTTCTTGGATCACCTGCCATCAGGCTATTGTCTTTCTACTGCTGTGGTAACAAAGACATTTTCAGGATTACTGTGGTTCTGTCGTGTCTAAGATTGTCTCCAATATTTATGTTGGTAGTGTCTAAATCATGTTGCTTGGAAATACAAAGGTAAACTGAAAGCCCTCAGTAGTCATTTCTGCAGCTGTGAGGTGTTACTCACTAAAACGGGTCTCTGCGTCTCCAACAGCTTCATGTGGAACTGTGTCATTTAACCCTTAAAAGTGAACCATTCTGATGCTGCATTTTTAAACAAACTTGAATGAAATCCTGTTCTTCAACAGGTTTTGATCTAGAACCATCTGATTTTTTTCCCCCAAACTGTAAGAACATTTAAAAGAACTGTATTTCAGTCCTTAGACCGAATAAGGCTACAAAGAAGGAATTCTCGGATGGAAACACCACTGTAGAAGTGAGCATGCTGACATGGAGGAGATGGAGAAAAACAGTGTTGTTATTTTGTTTTCAACCAGCTTTCGTTTAAAAAACATGACTGTAGCCTCTGCTGTTCAACCACAAATGTTACTTTTAAATTAAACCCCGATTTAAAAAATGAAGAACTAACTCCGAAGCCATATGTGTCAAGTATAAAAAAAGTGTTACATTTGAATAGAGCTCTTCCTCTTATTTCTGAAATACCAAGCTGTCAAGGCTAAATAGGTTTTCTGAGACAACAGCATAAGTATAATCATAAATAACCTTTGCCAAACTGAAAATGTTATTTTTTCCATCTCGTTTCCTATGGTATCGCCGCTACAGGGAGAAGACAGACAAAACAAAATGGTATGTTTTTGAATCATAAAATGTCCCTTTGTCTCTGAACCTCTAGTTGTCACTAGTGTAAAGACAGGAAGACAGAAAGACAGAAATAAAGAAAACCAGAGGAGACAGAAAAGTCCACGGCGTTTTAATCCATTTAATACAGCAAGGACACGAGACTCCGCCCTCCGCAGAAACACAGACATACAACACAGTAGCTTACCGCAGGGTGGGCGGGGTCAGACTTTACATTTCTAGAATCTTCTGACCCACACTACCTCTGTGCAAAAAACACGAAACAACATAAACAACAGCTGCGAAACAGGAAGGAAGGACGGAAAAAAGGGAAGGCAGACAGGGAGTGAAGAGAGTGAGCGTCTACAGTGTGGTCATGTCGTTGAGAGCCAGGTCCAGCTCCTCGCTGAGAGCCTTGCCCTTCAGCTTCTGAGCGTACACCTCGTCTGGAGACACACACACACACACACAGAAAAATGACAGCAGAGTCAGAAAAGATGAAGAGAAAAAAAAAGAAAAAGGTTGAAAGGATGTGGTTCACACCTTGATGTCAGTGATGTCACATCACCTACTACCTACTGTACAGAATCATGCTCCAACCTGAGGTTAGGATTTGTCAGTCTACAACATTCTTTCACTTAAATAAACGCCGAATGTTTCTGTAAATGTCGTTATTTACGGCGGTAAAATAAATGGACACAGTCCAAAAGTGAAGCTTCAAGTTTAGGAAACTCAACAGATACTAGTTGGACAGGATGTCCTGGGGTGGCCAGGGATGACAGAATCTGAAGTTTCCCAGAAACAAGAGCAGTGCTGCCTAGATATAAATAAGAGCTAGAACAAACAAGGTTAAAAAACATTTCTATGGCAGAGCCATACTTCCATTAAATCTCTAAGTAATCTTTGTCATACATAAATAACCTGGAAGTTGTGCAATTACTACAGACTGTAAATGTGGCGTGCTTTAGGTTTGATGAGTGATATGTATTATTATTATTTTAGCAAACTCTTGATAATACACTAGTTGAATTTATTATGCTCATGCACTTTAAGGATTTCACTTTGAATTTGACACTCGATGACGTTGTTACATGTTGTCTTTGTTTGAGCTACTAAATAAAACACAAAGTTCACGGCAACACTTTGTTGTTGTGAATGTGTGTTCAACTTTTTCTTCAAGTATTTTTGTCTCCCACACCAATGTCCATAGAGAACATTATTGATTTTACATTTACAACACATTGTAGATCCATATTAAAAAGTACAACGTGCATGTCAGTATGTGTTTCATCATGTTATCTTGTAATACTCAATCTACAGCATCCACATCAGTAGTAAAGCTGTTAACAACAACAGTTTTTATTGGTTGAATGTCAATTCATGCTTTTGTGTTTTGACTTGTCTGACAGACTAGGTAACAGTACCGGAAGCTAGTGAGGAAGACTCTAAAAAAAAAAAACAGGGTATCTGAGGAAATTAGTGTTTAAAGCAGATGTGAAAAACATCTCACATCACTGACTTCATTTTCATTTCTTCATTTGCTTAACTTCTGCTCTTCCGCAAACATTATGTGCCAAGTTAACATCTTAGACAGAAGTGGTGAAAAAAAAGAAGCTAGACTTTATTTTGGAAGGCAACACGTTCTTTTAGAACATGGACATGTTTGTCGTTCAGTTTGACACTGTTGTTGAGTTAAAATGACGGAGAGTTAGTCCTGAAAGAACATCCCTTCAATCAGGGTATGATCACCTTCTGTATGTGTGGTCTGCCTTCAGTGTTTAGTGATAACAGTACTAGTGTTAGTAACAGTGGCAGCAGGATGTGGGTGAGAGTGGTGAACGACTGGTTATGTGATTGCATTCTTTACCTTCCAGATCGTCGATGGTCTTCTCCAGCTTGGCCACAGATCTTTCTGCAAACTCTGCACGGGTCTCAGCCTGCAACACAAAACCATGCAACACGTCAGACAAGTCAGCAGAGGAGGTGCTAATCTGTTTCCTCACGTGTCTCACCTCTTTCAGTTTCTCAGTAAGCACTCTGATTTCCTCTTCGTATTTGTCTTCCTTCTGTGAATACTGCAGCACAAGCACAGAACAACACCATCAGCACACAAGTGTGACCTGCTCACAGAGGTGAAAAAAAAAAAACAACACAACAATGCTGGCTGGAGACACACAGATACAGCCTCAGTGGTGAGTTCTTCAGATCCTACTCTACCTTCTCAGCCTGGGCCTCCAGTGACTTCAGGTTGTTGGTGACATTTTTCAACTCTTCTTCAAGGTCACCTGATTTACTGAAGGTCACGAGAAAGAGGGGAAACAGAAGAGGAAAAGAAAACAAAGGCAGCAGTTTGAAACAAAGAACCGAAGATGAAGAGGAGATCAAACCAACCCAGGGTCAGAAGGTCAAGTCAACATGTCTCTGTGGCTGAAGCCACACTTGGAAGCTGAGTTTATTCATGAAAAACAGCACTGTATCTGAAAACGAAGGATTTTAAAACCAATAACAACATCAAATGAGCAACAAAAACATAAACGTAGAAAATACTACAATTTTAATTCTCCTATCTACCTCCATTCCCATGTATTTTTTATTTATCTTTCCTTTTTTTATTTTCTGAATCTGAATCTCAGTGCCCCATGTGGTTCTTAAATATTAAAGCTAATTATCAAATGGAGTGTTATGATAAATTAGAAGATGTGCCACTGAGTCTAAGTGGTTTTGTATCCAGAAACAACAACAATCAGACTACTGCAGGCCTGAAATCAGCTTCAGAGACAGAGACATGTGACTCGAGTTCAGACAACACACAAGGTTAAAGCAGCACACAGGCATGAGTGCATCAGATCAAAGCACTCAGAAAACAAAATATGACACTATAAACTGAACAAAGATTGGAGACAACAACAATTTCCCCAACGTGTGGTCAATAACGTTTAATCTGATCTATCTTCTCTAATCTTAATATATAATAAGACATTTGCATTTTGAAATTTATTTTCTGCAGTACCCCATGAGGCCCCACTTTATGTTATTATGGTGTATAGTGTCAGTAATGGGTCGATATGACACATGATTTGAATAGATAAATGATTTTTAACCAATTCTGGATCTTAATACTTTGATTTTATTTTTTATTTTAAGATAACTTTTAGTCATTATTAGGGTGAGGGTGGGTGGTTTAAAAAAGTTACCAAAAAAAGATAACTTTTAGTCATTATTAGGGTGAGGTTTAAAAAAGTTACCAAAAAAAAAAAAAAAAAAGAAAGCTGAGAGTCTGTGAGGTCAGTACCTCTTCCTCTCCACACATCATGGCCTTCAAATTCTGGTCCATCAGTTTAAGCTCCTCCTCCAGATCCCTCCCATGTCTGCAGGGTTAGTCCAGCAGGGCGGCAGTAGTGAGGCAGTGGGCAAAGCAAGCAGTCGGTAAACATTTCACATTAACACATGCAGGCAGTAAGCGTGTGGTCAATCATGCGTTCAGTTAAAACACCAAACACACACGTGCAGTGTGTGTGAGAGATGAGTCTGTGAGAAATTAGATTAGAATTTGCATAAGTCAGGAAATGACTGGCTCCTTTTTTGTTTAAAATCAAAACAAAAGTTCTGGTTTGGCTGAATGCATTTGAAAAACATCTTCTTCTTTCTTAGATATATTATTTTATCTTTTTATCATAAAATGTGTACAATTATAAGCAACTTATAATAAAATAATTGTCTTTCATTAGAAAGTATGTTAGTAGAGGTTGTTTCTCCACTGACAGTGAATGTATAGCAACATATCGGCATTGCAAGCGGTCACATGACCTCAGCTGTAACATCATGAATAATACAGGTGCCAGTGTGAGCTTTCAGGATGCTGGTATTGACTTACGCCTCAGCCACCTCAGCTCGCTCCTCTGAACGCTCCAGGTCGCCCTCTAGGATCACCAGCTTACGTGCAACCTAAACACATTCAGTCAGTCAGTTAGTCTCAGGTTTTCATAATGGGGGATGTCAGGGTGTGTAAAACAGACGCACCTCTTCATATTTACGATCGGCCTCCTCAGCAATGTGTTTGGCCTCCTTCAGCTGCATCTCCTGGATCTCCATCTTCTCCTCGTCTTTTGTCGCTCTGTTCTCTATGACCTTCATACCTCTGCAAGAGCACAACAAAACTCAGGATTTCAAAAATCAATTTAACTATGGGAAAATCACAACCTTTTTTCATAAAAAACCCAATTTAACTATGGGAAAATCACAACCTTGATGTTTCATAAAAAAAAACCCCAAAACATCTGTACGCTCTGCTGTTTTATGTTGTCGACCTTCCAGTTCTCTTTACTTGCTTTGAATATATAACAAAAAAAGGAGGCTGCCTGAGGATATATTAATCGTTCACCCTTCCCAAAAAATTTGCACTGTACACTATGTGAGACATGTCTTATTGTGTTGTTCCCACTCACAGAAGATTCAAAAAACATCAATAAACATTGATGTTTTGTGAATCCAACCCATTATTCTTCACTGCCCCAAAGCCCAAGGATTACAGTTGGATCTAGTAGATGTTGTAAACGAAATACATAAACTATACCATCAGTAAATTGTAATTTCTCCAACAATTAAGCACAAAATCAAAGCTTCTCTTTGCAGCCAGTGAGATTAAGTAATTACTAGTACTGGTGACCCCCGGTGGTATAATCGGGTACTGCAGGTGGGTATTCAAAGGTCACTTCTGTTGCTGCTGCTTCCTCCCCTTACTCAGACAAGTGGTTTTGGAGCAGACAGTTTCTTTGGGTGGATGGACAGAAAGACTCCTCACCTCTCACTCTCATCTGCAGCTTTCTCTGCCTCCTCCAACTTCTGCAGTGCCGTGGCCAGTCTCTCCTGAGCTCTGTCCAACTCCTCCTCTACCAGCTGGATACGTCTGTTCAGAGAGGCCACCTCTGCCTCGGCCTGAGTTTCAACAAGAGCACAGAAGATCATGTACATCTAGTAACACTGACACCACGTTCAATAAACATTTTTAATCTCTTCAATTGGATTTTTTTTTTTCATTTTTCATTCGGCTAAAGGGGAAGAACCAGGGAACTACAGTCAGATATAACTACAGGTTTAAGACCAGATGCATCTTAAACTCTTCAACCAAAACACAGGCCTGTGCAGAAGACCTCAAACAAAAATGGAAGCAGTACTGTCGTTCAACTACTCAAATGTCTTTCCTTTAATCTGCCAGAGTAACGTAGATGTCCGGCCTATCAGACTTTATGCATTTTTAAATGAAAAAAGAGTAGAACAGATGGAACCTAAGGTTGAAGAGACTGGATTCAGACCAGAGCACTCCAGATTCTGGGCTTTAGGGTTAGATAAAGTGGCTTTAAAACGCAGCAGCACAATCTTTAGATTTTGTTTTCTAAATTGTTGTGATTATTAGTGAGATATCAGTGTGGCCTGCCTTTCAAGTACTTAATTCACCAACATTTCGTTGTATAATTTATAAATAAAGGATATAATTTAATAAAATATGCAAATGAATAAGCAGTAGATAGTGGATGTGTTACTAAATGAATATAAAAGAATGTCTCTTTTTTTGTTCGAAAATACACAGAAAGTTCTCATTCTCACTTTTTGAAAAACAAAAAACATGACCTGTGATACAGGTCATGTTAGCAAATGACAACTGCTTTTAAATTTAAACAAACTTTAAATATTCTTTTTTAATCCAGGCCTTTTTATTTATATAGTTACATACATAGGATAGCCTATTTTTAAGTCTGAATATTTAAAGTTCAAAGGGGTATAACACGGTCTTCTTCGTCTTTGGTTGTAGTTAGCTACCTTGCTAACTTATACATTTAATTAGTTCTACTTCCCGTGTAACATAGATTCATAACTTTAAAATATATATCTTTTTATTAATTAGCTCCGAGAGCAAGCTATAATAAATTGTTTGCTTTTCCCCTTCCAATTCCAACATTGGTAAACCTCATTCATAACTGCCCTTTCCCCGGTGTTTTCCGGTTATCGGGAGAGCGTTACCCTCTGGCGGGCCTGCCGTTCCGTGTCCGCCTCCTCCTGCAGCAGTTCGGCTCTCTCCTCCGCCTCGTACGTGGCCTGCTGCAGGGTCTGAATCTTCTTTCTTACCGAGTCTATAGAGTTGAAGGAGGCCATATTTTACCTGAAGCTCAGCTTCTATCTGCGGTATCGCTGCGGTATGTGTGCTGTTGTCAGGGCAACGCCAAAGTTCAAGAAGTAAAGTCACCGGGGGACCGTTGTTGTTTTTCAAAATAAAACCTATAATGCGTTATTTGACTAGCGCGACTATTGTTTTGAAAAGGAATGGAAGCGCACCGTTAGCGTCACAGTGAATGAGTATGTAGATAGGATACTATTCCAATAAAATAAAACAAAATGAAAAAGAAATCCATTTTTGAGTTTGCAGTCAGTTACTGGTTATGAATACTAGTTATAATTTTACTGTCCCCAAATCCTTTTTTCTTTATTTTTTTTATTTTTGTTAGTGACTGTCGCAACTAGTAGCTTTAGAAACTGCTGCCAAGGTTCCAGAGGTGATTCAATTCTTCCAAGAACAAACATTTACTCATGACAGTCTCAAGAGCACGGAGGACACAATAATTTTAACAGTACATAAGAAAATGATCTGGTCAACACCGTAAAAGGACAACAACATAAGTAAATAATGTTTTTTGAAAGACAGGAAGTAGCCTTCTGGACTTTTATTTTGAGAACTAGTGGCTAAATAAATAAAAAAATCTGTTAATATATTTAAATATTATATTTTAATTCTTTATCAATTTATATAAATGCACAAATATCCCCAAAACATGAAATCCAAACTCATTTCCAGGATTAAACTTCCAGCATTAATTGCAGGAACGGATTTTGAGGGGGTCGCCGCATTGACCCTCTGATATCATATATTCAAACTCCAGCTCAGGAACGGATTTTGAGGGGGTCGCCGCAGGACATTGACCCTTTGATATCATATATTCAAACTCCAGCTTTTTCTATTCCTGGCCCTGTCACTGAGCTTAGAATAAATTCATATACAGCAGATACTTTATTTTTCAATTTGTGAGGCCCCATTTCCATCTTTGCAATTACTGTTTGAACACATTATTAATGTTTTGAATTCCTTCCATACAGTCGTGTTCATGTGTCATAACTCAGCTCTGCTAAAATGGCCTCTGTGAGTTGGTTTTCGACTTGTTTAAAAACTTGCGATGACTAATAGTGGGAGTTTGTATGGACTCTGAATTTCCCTGAATGTTTGGTTTAAATCTGCTGATGACATCCACGGGCAGCTGTGCTCAGCACCAGCTACAGTAGCAGACTCCACCGAGCATAAACAAACATTTCTTTTCCATCTTTGGTAACATCGCTGTGTCCAGGATGTGTCCGTGTCCTCCCTACATCACTGTAACTGCCCGTGAATGCTATGTACGACTCAACGGCTGAGCCCTGAGCTCTGAGTTTGAAACTGAAGGTGAAGTAAACTCCAGTGTGGGCTCCTCAAATTTGTAAAACAAACTTTCTCGAAAGTGAAGAAACGTGGCTCTGTTGATACCAAAAGCCACAGGTTTTGCCATTTAGCTACCAATCAACTGTGTGTACCATACAGAATTTAAAATGGACCAACGGACACGTCCCATTACACCAGGGGTCTCAAACTCAAATGAGCTGAGTACCACTGCTGCCACTAGCATCAATGGTCAATACAAAAAACCCAAATCGTTTCAGTAGTTTTTGTTTAATATAAATGCTATATAATACTACATTGAAAAGAGCTGGTTCAGATATTTGTATTAGTTTGTATTTGTTTATTTTAATTTCCTGATGTGACGGCTTTGATTATTGTGTTTAACACAGGTAAATCTGAATGAAGATTTAAAGCATGAAGTACTCCGAAATTACAGATATTAACAGTGGATCAACTACTGAGTGGTAAAACGGATGATTTTCTCTATGGACTTCGGTGTTGTGATGCCCACAGCTAACATCCCTTTTCACTTCAGGATAAAGTGCAGCATGTCAGTTTCGCTTAGAGAGAGGCTGCCAATCATGTGGAGTCTCAACACGGGGGGCGCACAGTGTCCGGTCAGCTGCATGCAAATAGCTAACTATGTGTGAGTATGTCCTACAAGCACGCTTGAAAAAAACCCTAAACTATTCCTTTAATACATGATATCACGCAGTGCTGCAGTGTTCTTTTACTGCAGCCCACCTCAACATTAACACAGGCTGTGCTAATGAAGCAGCAGTATATTTACAGGCCGTATCTGCTGCAGGTGCCGACAGGTTTTATGATCTGTTGGTCGAATCTGATACCGCGCCGGTTTCATTTACCAGCGTCCTCTGCTGCCTCTGCTGCTGAGTTTTCATATGAACCGACACTGACGCCCTGCAGATCCAGCACCAGCCTGTAAGTGACACTGATCTGAAGGTCACCGCTGACGGCCTGACGTTTGACTGACTGGGGCATTTTTGGACTCAGATTAAGCAGTGATAATGATTTTTATTTTTATTATGATGGAGTTTTTTGGTGGTGGTGAGTGAACATGTGGCCCTGGTAATGGAAGGAATAGTACTTCAGTACTGTACTGCAGCATGTACTGCACTTGTGTTTTGCAGACTAGCTAAAGAAAATTTTTTTTTTTGCAGTGACAAAAATGCTAATAACAAAGAAAAACTGATTAAGCCATTTTCTGTATTACAAAGAAAAACTGATTAAGCCATTTTCATTGTTGCTGTATTTGTTATTATAATATATATTGTTTATTCTATTATTACTATTACTATTATTATATTTTATCATTTACACAGTTAGGTTTATTTGAGTCAGGTTTGTTAGAATTTAGCATTTTAGATTTTTGGTATTACAGCATTCTATTTCAGTTTCTTCTCCATACCTTATTTTACTGACTGCTTTCCTTACTCGAGTACATTAAAATATATAGGAGGGGAAATATTAGATACTTTGAGGCTTGTACTTGAGTACTTAAGGAAGACTTCAAATCTTACAGATATCTGTACTTCTACTCTAGTCTGGGTACTCTGGTCCCTTAGTATAAAACTCTGCTCACGTCTGTTGCTTTCTTCTCCGCCTGCTCCAGCTTCTCCTGGGCGTCCTTGAGTGACTCGGAGTATTTGTCCAGCTCATCTTCCACACCTTTGAGCTTCTTCTGCAGACCCAGCAGCTCCTCCTCGAGCTTCACACAGAGGAACAAAGAAGAACATGTCACAACAGCAGCCAGAAAGACAAAACCACACTTTCTTTGTACACAGATGAGAAAGATGGAGTGGGTGAAGATGAACTCCGGTGGAAAGTCAGTATCTAAAACTTACACTCTTTGGTACTAGTTTCAAAAGTCCTTCTAGATGGAGTATATTATGGATTCTGACCCTGGTGTTGGGCGATGACAGAGAATCTCTTTGCTTTTGATGAACATCTACCACTGGTTTGTCCTTCACCGTAAACACCTAGTACCAAAATGTTTCATAATCCTTCCATCTTCTCTAGCCAATGATCATTTTCATGGTCAACCATTCACACTCAGATTCACACCTATGATGTGTTTAGAGTGAACAATTAAACTCATCACCAATCCACGTGTTTTTGGGCTTTGGAGAAGGAACCTACAACCCCCACAAACACCAGGAGAACATTCAAATTCCATAAAGAAAGACCAAGAGCCGTAACCACGTTCTCCACTAGGTCTTGCAGACCATAATGATAAAGGGAAGTCTGATGTGACCTTCAGGATAATGTATAGTTTGCAACCGGACCTTTACTGTGAAGATCTAAAGAACAAGAACTGTCTAGTACTGATATCGGTGAAGCTAAACCTTAGCTAAAACATTATTTTGATATCAACGCTCGTGATTAAAAATGTTATGGTACTAGACATTTGAAGGTCGGCTGGACGTTCTACGGACGGTAACTTTGATACTGAACCTTGATAAAGGACTTTGATGGAAGACATTTTGATACTTCATATCAAAGAAGAACATTTTGTTTGGTACCATAACTTCTAGGTATCACGAATTCCTTTTCGAAATTGAAATTAATAATGTTCGGTCACTATATTTTAATGGTTTCATGACTTGTTTTTAAATAAACGATTACTTATTGGATTGGCTCGGAGAATCTTTGAATCCCTGACAAACTGAAATCACACGCCAGACCTTCTAAATCTGGGATCTTCTGACCACGACTGTTTCTTCTCCTCTCAGTGCTTCTGATTTTCCAGCGACTCATTTCCAAATAGAGTTATAGTCGCCGCGGCTTCATAACCTATAAAAAGACAATTGCACCAACGTGTCCTCAGGACAAATGTCCTTTCTGTCTCACTCATCTCCGTCTCTCTCTCTAAGTCTGTATCCATGTAAGGCCTCTGGGTCACAAATAGCCTTGGACCGTCCTGATTCTGATCCTGATCCTGATCCTCCTGTCAGCTCCGACAGCCTTGACTGTCTGTGTGAGCGCAGCAACAATTCAAAGAAGGCAGCGATCACAGAAATAGACCCCGAGCCCGGTCGGCACTGATGATGATGGCATTGTTGCAGAGCCGGGTCTGGATCCTCCTCCGGGAACAGAACTGAACACATGCTTTGAGGACAGTTGGTTTTCTATTCATAGCTGGATATTCGATCTCGTAAAATCACACAGAGGAGAGTCCGCGGGTCAGAGGGGAGGAAAATCCTCGTCGTCTTCAGCTCACAGCTGGAGACAGCGGAAGGCTGAGGTTCAGTGGACGGCTGCCAGGACTTTTTAATCCAGAATCTATTTTTTCCAAATAACAAGAATTGCTAAAGCTAACTAGCTTTCTTTTATGATAATGCTTATATCTTATATGCTTTATAAAAAATAACAATATATAAAAAATATATTGTTTTTTTTTTCCAATAAAAGTGGGTTGTGTTATATCTTATATGCTTTATAAAAAATAACAATGTATAAAAAATGTATTGTTGTCGTGGGGGCAGCAGTCGCCACCCAAATCACACTGCACCGTACCAACCCCCCTGAACCTTCCTGTGGGTGGTGGGTCCACTGGAAGGGGGTTGTGCCCATAGAAACTTAATTAAGATGAAGCCAAATTACTTAAATAAGATAATGATAGACTCATAAATTTATTTTTGAAATTGGTAATTAATTTAATGTGTGCGCAAATAGTGGTTTTTATAAAAGACTAAACGTTTACGCTCTGTGTTATATACTTTTACTGATATGGATTTTGATTCAAGTAAAAAATATTAACCTGAGTCATTAACCATAACCTGGTTATCAACACTTGATGATCACATGATGACTGATTTGGAAGCTTGTAATTAATGAAACGGGTTTATGAGAACTTAATTAATGACCCAGAATGACTTTGGTTTGTAGTAACATCTTTTTAAAGGCACACAAACACCTCCGGTTTAGTCATGTGTTAATGACACTTTCAGCACCATGTCAAGAATGAGGGCGGTGCGCCACGACGGGATAACAGGCTGACCTTTGACCTCTGAGGAACCTTCTCAAATGTTTTCCAAGAGTTTCCTCACAGTCAGAGGTCCTGAGTGTGTGTGTGTGTCCAGGTTTCTTCAGAGAAGACTTTTGGACCAAGTTTTAAGAAATGCACATATAAAATAAGATGTGTAGTTTATACTGACAGTGATTTACTTTAAAGTATAAATAAACTTTCAACTATCAAATCTTATTTTTTTTTTGTGTACATTCCTCCACCAGGTGGCGTCACATGTGCATTAACTTTGAGTGACAAGACAGAAAATATAATATTAAACTATTTTCAAGCTAAAGCGACTGAGCTCAGAAAGTCATGTTAAGTGTGTTTCTAAAGTTTACCTTAATTTTCATGTGTTTCTCCAGCAGGTGGCACAATACAAGAATTTTAATATCTTGAAAAGACAAATTTTAATTTAAAATCTTTAATATTCCTGATCTTTAAATTAGTTTAAAGATCGTCTTTAATATTCCTGATCTTTAAATTAGATAAAAGAAGATTAAATATTTCCTGTTTGCTGTTAAAGCGGAGTCAACTTCCTTAGCGTTATTTACCTAGTTAGACCTTAGCTCAATGTTAAAGTTCCGTCGTTATCAGTATTAACTTCTACTTTTAGATATTTAGATGTGACGACCATACATTTAAAGTCAACTTTTAGCAATGCTCACAACAGTTGTAGCTAAAATGTACTAGCTTTAGCATACTTAGAAATTGCTAAATACTGTATCATTGGAAACGTGGATGGCTCTGTTTTACTGAACTGTTTTATTTGTTATGTTTAAATTTGACATGCTTTGGGACTATGACTAACCAACCAGTTCAAAATACAGGATTGTGATGAATTTATGGAGCCAGGGAATAGACTTGTCAGATTTGCATTACGCTCACACTTCCCTGAAGCAATACATGAACCTTTCTGGTGAGGAGGAGGTGCTTTAATTTAACGACTTAAATGCTAACCTCGCAAACAAAGAGGATTTCTTCCTGCTGTTGTGCTAGCTCTTAAAAGCTAAACACAAATCATAGACAACAACCTAAATAGAAATGAAGCACTAAAAATAAAAATATAACAAGGTTCCTAACATCAAACCATGTGGGACCCCAATCGTTTTGGTTTAAACCCATGTTCCACAGATACGTGAAAATAATTTCAATTCTGACGCCTTAGATTAATGTAAACTAAATCTGACCAAGTATCATGTCCCTCATTGGTCGCTGTGGAGTAGTTTTGTGGGGGTGTTTTTGGATACATAGTTTGGCTCCACCTCTGAACCTAAGCCCCCTGCAAAGAGTGTTAGGGCCAAAAGAAAAACAAACAAACAAACAATAAAATAAAGTCGGTATGGGAATAAAGTCATGGATTTTGAAGAATAAAACAGTAATATTATTAAAGAAAGTCGTACATCAACAACAACAAAAAAAGATTTAAATTTGAGAAATACAGTTGTAGTATAGCTAACTGGTATCAAATGAGTAAAACAGCGCTGTATGTCGACGTGACGAGTTATGGAGAAAAAGAAAAGTAGACAACGGTTGAAATGCTTAAAAAACAAGAAGCATCACATTGTCATTAGCGTGAGATTGTGTCGAAAAACGTTTTTGAAGTCTATTTTGACAAAACGTAAATTGAAAGAGCAATAATAAGACATTATTCTTATAAATATACAACTTTGTTTAGTTGCTTGTTTGATTTAAAAAATCCTTATAAACCTTTCATATTCCGACAGTAAACGTTCGACTTTGCGATTTTAAATGTAAAACCTTTTGTTTAGTTGCTTGTTTGATTTAAAAAAATCTTAAAACTTTTCATGTTCCGACAGTAAACATTTGACTTTGCGATTTTAAATGTAAAACCTCGTCACATTATGAAAAAAACGTTTGTTGCCATATTTAAAAAAATGAATCTGATAAACTTAAGTTTTTTTTCTTGTAACATTCCAATTGTATTAAAGCATTTGTCCTGTGATATTCTGAACTTATACTCACACGTTTGTCTTAATTCAATGTAAACTTAGAAGCTTTTTTTCGTAAACCTCCATAATATTTCCTCGTAGATTTACATTACTCTAGAAAACGTGTTTTTCTTGTCACAATAGGAGTGTATTCTGATTAAATTAGGGCATTGTTCTTATGAAATTCCAACCCTAATAGTCATACACTTAAAGTCTGGACTTCTTTTTGTAATAGAACGAGTTCATTTTCACATACGAACAACTTTAATCCTTTAAGTAAGCGTGTGAATATTATTTTAAGATTTTTTTTTTTTCGATATGGCCCCAATACTCTTGTACTCTAAGTTGGAGAAGATGGAGGTGTAGAAATGACGAACTGTTATTGGAGTTGTTGGGGTGAGATACGACTTCACTGTATGAATTCTAGACTAGGAAGTAAGGAGATAGAGGTGGAGGAGGTGGAGGAGATAAGGAGATAAGGAGCACCTGGGCTGATGGAGGGACAGAGTAACCTCACCGACCTGTTTGCATTTGTCCTCAGCTCCCTTCTTGTCCACCTCCGCCTGTTCTGCTCGGTCCATAGCATTCTCCTTGTCCAGCTTCAGCATCTGCATCTTCTTCTTGATGGCCTCCATGGTTCCTGCTTGGTGTGGTTCTCAGCGGCAGCGGCGGTAACGGTGGTGGCGGGAGAGGCGGCTCGAGGTAACCGGTCACAGTCGGAGGGTCAGCGACTCGTGTGAGCGGCGCAAGGGCAGCGTGGAATAATAGAAGTCGAGGAGGACGGATGAGCACGACTCGGTCAACTTTTTTTTTTTTTCAACGCGTAGACGCGCGCGCGAGACTGTTATCCATATTTAGTCAGCGAGGAGGCGCGAACACGCGCACATATCCTCGGTAGGACTGAGCTAAGTGAAGAGTTCTGAACTTGTACCTTAAGCTCTTCAGTTAAAACTGGAACCTTGTTTGAAGTTTACATCGGAAAGGTCCGAAAAGACAAAAAGAAAAGAAAGAAAAGTAGACGCTGAGGCTGACGTAAAGACAATATTAGACATGAGTAAGTTATGTGGCGAAGATACAATCAGTGCCGGCTCTAGCCATTTTGATGCCCTAGATTGGACTATGGTTGAAGGCCACCTCAGCCCCTACACACCACCCAAAAAACGATTGGACAACACATACAGGTTTAATTATTCATAAGATACAACAACTTACAAATAAAACTAAAATAACAATAAATGTAGTTAAATGAAATAAAATATAGATAGATATCCAGCTAGCTAGCTAGCTAGCTATCTAGACAGATTTATAATAAGGTTTTACTTATTAAAAGTATAACTCAAAATTCAGCTTTGTAGTGTTGGTGGATTTTAAGACATTAACATGCATTTGTTTTTGTTTAAAAAAAACCCCATTATGTTCATACATTAACATTTTTGTCCAATTCAACAGGGAGTTAAATGTTAAGGGGACAAAAAAGACATCCACAGGTTAATGGTAAAACCAACTTTATTGAATATAAACCTCTATTACAGTGGCCAGTAGGTGCTGCTGTTGCGCACCAGAGTTACACTGCTACCGTCAGAAATGTGAACAAAAACCGATTTAAAAAAAAGTGATTACAGTCATTTTTGTTTATTGTTAAACATGTTTGGTTTGCTCAAAAAACAAGGATAACACAACAAGAGGTGAAAAGTGTGAACGTGTGTTTATATGAGGTTCGAATGAAGGAAGTGCAACAAGATACAAAGGTGTCAGATCTTTATAGTTTCTTTACGCATAAGGCACTTAATAAGCAGTGATATACTGTGACAAAGAGTGCGCATCGATTCTATCAAAACTCTGTTGTCATAATCAGACAGGAAGTCAGGTCCTGACGTCTCCCTGATTAACCAGAATCTGGAAAATAATCCTGTTCAATGACAAAATAATCCTGATTAACCAAGAGCTAACTCTAAACAAAATAGTTCTAGGTAACTATAAAGTAATCTGAATAAAAGTGAAGTAATCCCCAGATAGACAGGAAATACACACAACGCAACTGCTGCGTAAAAAAATGCTTTGTCCCCCAAAAATGGCCTGAAGTTAAATATATGGCTTTATCATTTTTTTCACTAATAATCTAATCTAAACTATTCTAATTTAATCTATTCTAATCTAATATAGTTTTATGCAATTCTGTAATCAAGTCTAATCCACTCCTACCAAATCTAATCCAATCGAATCCAGGCCTCAATACTGCAGCTGTTTAAATTATAAAACTAACAACACAAAAGAAAAATAACCCAAAAATGTTTATTCAGATATTACTGAACACACCATTAATACAGTTCATAGCTCAGATAAAAAAAAAATTCTCACCGTGATTTGTTCTGTCGCAAAGTTATTTTATATGTAATTTTCTTTTTCCAAGCTGAAGTCCGTTAACATACGAACATACGTACAAAACACACAGTCATCTGCATAGAGGGATTGCATTTCTCATGCACAGTTTGCATAGAAGCGTCAGTGAGGGCAGGAAGTACTGGCACGTCATTATGTAACGACAGAGGACAAAAACAAAAAAAAAAAGATATGTGTGATGATATGTTCATATTTAATTAATAGATTTAAAGGTTTGACATGAATATTTGTCAAAACTGCTTAATTTCAATATCATTGTCATTGCCTGCAGTTTGGGAAATTAAATAGACAAACAGACTAAAGCATCTGTGTGACGAGGAGTTCGTCTACTAGATGTTATGTGGAAGCTGTGGGAGGGTCCTGAGCGAGCGTCTACGCACACAAACACACACATGCACTCACACACACACACACACACACACACACACACACACGGTCTCTCTCTCTCTCTCTCTCTCACTCACTCTCACTGCTCAGGGCCTTCGTCCCTCAGCTCTAATGGCAGAAACTTGTACTGCTGCTTTCGGATCATGGCCAGCTTCTGTCTGGCCTCTTTCAGCTCCCGCTCTTTCCTTAGCATCTCCTCCTGAGCAGCGAGAATCTGAAATCATAACAGTCAAGTTCTTAGTCTCCTGTTCTTTTCCACTCTGAAGACAGGGTGATTCCAACAGCTCATGTAAAATAAGATCAGATCAGTAAATATTCTGTTCAGAATCTCCTGGACCCACCTGAGCGATGCCTCCCACCATCTTGGTCTTCACCACCACGTTCTGAGCGTCCTGTTCGTCAAAGGCTGCTTTCTGAGCTGCTTTCACCAGGTTATCAGATGCACGCTTCACAGCGTTTCCAGCAGCCTGTGAAGAAAGACAACCTACTCAATATTTTCAGATAAACCAGCCTTTTATATTCCCTTAGATTGAAATTGTTCTTCAATCAAACACCTCAATAATCGTCCTGGGACCATATTTGACAAACAGGTACGAGTGGGGTTGTCCGATATGAATTTTTTACCAATATGCTGATATTGTCCAAACACTTAATTTCCGATTCCGATATTAACCGATAGCGATATACGCAACAGCTGTTTCGGGTCAAAGGCAGAGGACACATTTCATAGTGTGCAGTGGTGTGCTGCACAATGACTGCACAATCACTTTTCACAAACTATTTTTAGGTCACATCATCTGGGGTGAAACCTAGGAATTGTGTAGCAGGCAATTATGGGATTTTTATTATCGGAGGAAAAACCGATAACGATTCTTACCTGTATCAGATAATTATGCTAATATCAGTTGGTCGATATTACTGAACATCCCTATATAAGGTTATTTTCATTTGCACATTTTCCGATACCGAGTACTGTCACCAATACTTAGTTCGGGTTACAATAAATATACATTTTTTTTCCTACCAAAAACCAGTATTAAATATAATACTAGTGGCAGTATTTGCTAATCATTTTGGCAATTAATAACTGCGGTGCACGGCGGTATTGGTTAGTAGCAAATTATCAGCCAAGAATGTGACAGACAAATGTGGACATAATGGTGTGTATTGGTGTTAAGAAGTACAGCAGTCACTGCAGGAGACAGAGGGACTGTTTCAGTTTGTCCTGAAGTTCCAGGAAAGGAAAAAAAAACGGAACCGTTCTTTTTACATTCAGGGTCTAAGGATATCTGTAAAAGGAAACAAGGAGCTGTTCCCTCTGACACACACACACAAACACACACACTGGATAACCAGGCTGCAGCAAATGAGAGTTTTGTCCTTTTGTGGCTCTGAGGGCTGAACTCAGACGATGAGAATGATTGGTCCACTGTGAGTTTATGTTTAGATGGAATGTGACTGTTAGGGCCAACAATGACACACACATACACATATTTTATTTTTATGGTTCGTGAGCACGTCATAGACACCCATCAATAGCTCCTTGTACCTGTGGTATTTGTCTGATCTAAATCCTTAACCTTATCTGACTGAAATCCTAATCCGAACTCCAAACTACATCTTGAACCCCAAAATACTCACTGCTTTAGCGGGGCCGTGCAAAAAGTCCCCACAGACACAGGCGTCCCAAAAACAGGACTTTTTACAATAAATTTCAAAATATGTCCTGTATTCTCGTAAATATAAGTTAGTTTTATTATATCTAAATTAGGGGTGTGCATTGGCAAGAATCTGGGCCGTGCAAAAAGTCCCCACAGACACAGCAGTCCCAAAAAAAGCACATTTTACAATAAAATATGTCCTGTATTCTCGTAAATATAAGTTTGTTTTATTACATCTAGGTTAGGGGTGTGCATTAGCAGGAATCTGATATGTATCACGATACAGGGTCAACCATATGATATATTGCATTGTACTGTGAGACGATTGGCACGACAATATATTGAGTTTTTTTAAGCAATTTAATTGTAGAAAAGCTGCCCGAGCACAGCTAACAGTAGCTAAGACAGCCCTTGAACAGAAACCAGAGCTAACGCTAGCTACAACAGCCCTGGTACAGACACCAGAGGTAACGTTAGCTACGACAGTCCCAGTAGGGACACAGAGCTATGCTATTACAGCAGTATATACTGTACATACTTGGCGTTGGTGAGTGAAAACAGTGACTTAAGCTGTTGATATCTTAATCGGGGTAGCTTATATTTGTAAACCAATTGTTAAATGGTTGGAATAGCATTTTCATTGTGTCACAGCTCCATCTTTCTGTTGTGTCACAGAGAGATTGTCTAACTGGGAGTGGCTCACAGAGGAGGCGGCGCTCACTCTACAGTCAGTGATGACCTAATGCAACTCGACTATAATAATCCTGAACTATCGCCTTCATTATTTTTGACCTGCTCTGTTGTTATTCTAGATTATTCCATTGGACGCAGGTGACCTAAACTGGGTGCAGGTTGCATCGTTTCCACTCAGAACATGCTGCCTTCAGGAACACTCACTTCTCCAAGCCGCACTTGGCTAAGCACATGCAGCAATTACAGCCTTAAAAAGCCTCTCTGCAGAGTGATGAGAACAAGTGCTGCAGCTGTAATCATAGATCAGGCAGTTAATGTTTCCAGCTCCTGGGAGGTGTGGGCGGACCCGTGGATGGTTTCCAGGGGGTCTGACATGAATGTATGGGAATTAGTGAGGTGGCAGCTGCAGGCCCAGAAGAGGAACACATAAGCCATTGCTGATTGGATCAGAGAATATGAGACGTCCCGGGCACGCTGATGTGTCCACGGGGAGCGTGCACGCTGACTTAAAGATGGTATTTTTGGGCAGATGAGAGCGACAAGAGATGCGTGAAGTTTCTGTGATGCCTTGTGTTGACCAGCATCAGTTACAGGGAAAGGTCAAAATGACATCCTCTCCATCAGTGAGCCTGAATGTACTGTGGAGTTTAAACAGAAGAAATGCCATACGTGGGTTAAGCTGTGTGGCGATGACATCATAATGATGTCATCACGGTGGACGACCCACCCAGATGTCACCCACTTATGTTGAGCTTTCATTGATAAGCTCATCCAGCTTCACTTCGGTTTTTTTACCAGACTGTATTTGGATGGTGAGAGTGGAGGTGGTGAAAGAACTGAGGGGCGGGGGTTATTAAAAGTGCAAAGACCAGCGAATCACTGTGTCATGATCTGTCAATTAGAACACATGCTGGTATTATGATAACCAAATATCTCAAATTAAGCCACTTTTGGCCACCAGTTTCAGAGTATTATATATTACCTGTCTGTAGGGTTTACAGAGACTAAAGACTATATCTATATCAGAGTATTATATATTACCTGTCTGTACAGTTTACAGAGACTAAAGACTAAAGACTAAATCTATTAATAACTGAATAGTGAATTGGTCCAATAAAAGTACTGGTCAGTGACTACTGCGCACCACTGTAGCTACATGTTTAACTTTATAATAAAGTATCGTGCTAGTAAAGTGTTTGTCCATGACACCTGTTAAGCTAACCAGTTACCCAGCCAAACCACAACTTGGACCACTCTTTTTGGTCTGCAAAGTGTGATGTCATTCCTATGTGTAACTCACGACTTCCCATGCGGGTGTTGTGCCCTATTCAATTCCATGTTTTTGGAAATGCAAAACTGAATCCATGGATTGGATTATAAAGAGCAGCAGCAGCAGATAGCTGTGCTAAACATAGAGCGCAGTAATCCTGATGTAGCAGCTCACCTGTAACTCTAAACACTCCACCACTAAGAATAGATGATAACAAAATCGTCAGCTGCTGCACAGGGACTGACATTATTGTTCCCGAGCTGCAGGTAGCGCTGCTCGCTGGCCTCAGGTCAGCTGTCGCACTGATGTGCAGTGGGATTATAGGGCTAAGTTTGGAGCAAAGAAAAATGGCTCGAGGCCAAACAGACTCTGTCACTGTGGCAACCCATTGCAGACCCTTCTTCTGAGACGGGGGAAAGACATAATGTTGCCTTGTGCAGAGTGAAGTAGTTGACACAACACCGATCGATCCATCTTGGTCAGGTATGTTAGGGAAAATGTCTTCCTAGGTAGGGCTGCTAGATGACATCCAGCACCAACACAGTTGTGTACTGTCAATCATCTGTGTATTCTTATACTTTTCCAACACAAGGCAACTAGGTTGCTGGTAAATCTGAGCTGCAGTGTGGCAACCGACATAACTTTGGATACAGAGCAGCAATCCAGCTTCTTCCTAGGACAACAAAAGCATCACTGTCCTTCAAGCAACTGCCTCTGGCTGACTTTTTTTTTTACTTTTCATGTCAAAGTTGTTCTCATTCATACACATACTTAATTTCTCGGCCTCGTTGGTACTTTGGTAAAACTTCCCAGACTTCACTTAAAAATGCAAGCGGACCTTTTTTTCTAACGTGACGTCGGACTAGCATTAGTTGCAGCCATGCTTCAGATAGACAGGGGGCAGCACTGACCTGGAGCCTCTTCATGGTCTGCGAGTTGTGGTCAGCCTTGACCTTACAGGCGACCAGCAGCTGAGCGGTGGACGCGGCCACCTGCTTGGCTGACGAGATGAGCTTCTCCTCGCTGGCGTGTCCCTGTACTGCGGAGTTGGCCGCCTCGCACAGGTTGTTGGTGGCTGCCGCGACCATTCGAGCCTGAGGACACAAAGATGATGCAGGTGAGCAGATGTCATTGATAACTTAGCATACTTCCCCAGAGCGAGAAGGACTTACGGCTGAGATCAGACCCTGAGACCACTGTCCATCATCGGCTGCATTGGCCGGGATGGCGCCCACCTGAAACAGAAACAGCGGGCGGTCAGTGTAGGATATAAACTTTGATACAGAAAAAAATATTTTTGGTTACATATGATTTCTTATTAAAGATAATTCTTACTTTTTCATTTTTCATTTTACCATTAACAGATGATAACTGTGTCTTAAATGAAGCTGTATTATGTTATAATGTTTATTATTTTTATCATGGATAATTTAAAAAAATAACATGAACACAGGGACACATGTGATTGTGCTTTTTAGAACTTGTAAAAGAAGTACCTTTTACTATTTCAAAAAATGGTATTTTTTAGGGTTCTCCCATTATTTGGCCTTCCCTTGTTTGAAGACGTACCTTCCCTTGAGCCACCAGCTCCCTCTGAGCGGCTGAAGCTGCTTTGACCAGAGCACTAGTAGCGGCAGCGATGGACTTGGCCGCCTCCAGAATCTGCTCCTCGAAGTTCAGGCTCTCGTCTGCTTCCTGTTTTACGAGAGGAAACGGGAAACCATTTGTCAACACTTGCGATGTATGGCATTTTCAAACCGATCAAGGCTTTATTGAAATATTCAAATGTCAACAGGGAAACATCTGTCTGTGGGGGGGGGGCTCAGGGGAGGAGCACGCCGTGACCTCAGGCCGAGGTCAACAACCTCTGTGAGATTCTGTGTCTCAGTGAAAACGTTTGCTGACCTTGGGTTTGGTTCTGGGCCTCAGCTGCTCCAGTTTCTTGGCAGCAGCTTCAATGGCCGCGGCCGCTCCCAGCAGCTCGTTCTCTGCAATGACAGTGGGGTCCTCGGGGTCCACCCACTCGGTGCCTGCAACACACAACAACAGCAAACGCTTGGTTTAGGAAAGTCCTGACATCTGATCTCATGCTTTCTCTCCCAAGAGTTTTACAAGCCCGAACATGGCTGACCACAAATGTTGGACCTCCGAAATACGTGCCGTTTCAAAGTGCTAACTGAAGTTTATACAAAATAACACAATAACTGACAAGTTATGTCAGTACTTAGTTGAGGGAAACAGTCATTAATCTCTTATGACGGACAATATTTTAGGGGCAAAAAAGTATATATATATATTTCAGTTTCATTTTCCTACAAAAACAATTCAAATCAATATAAATGCACATACAAAACGATGTCCAACAACAGGCCATAAAAACAAACAAATATTGAGACGCCGTGAGACTCTTTCAGTCCTGAATTGGTTATAGGTCAAGGAGGACATGGGAGACACGTTGACTTTTTGTCAGTACCTCATAAATCCACACTTCCTAAAACCCATGTAATATATATACCCTCATAAATCCACACTTCCTAAAACCCTAGTCTAGCATGTAATATATATACTGTATAATAAAGGTATATATACACGATGGACAAACCATAAACCCCCTAATGTATCGGGTAAACTTGTCATAAATATTCCATATCCTCTGTCATAAGGCGGCGATCTCAGCGCCATGTTTTCGCCGCCTCTGCCAATAAACAACCTTTGACTTTCATGAATTGTCCACCTCAGCTCTTCCCAGACCCAGGCGACGAGATGGAACGTCTGGAGCATTCCAATTTGATATCCGTGACTAGGATGCTGAACATTAATCACAGCTCTCTCAGTCTCTCTGTGACTGCACTGTTCGTCCACAAATATGCAGGCAGTGGGATATAGTGGCAGCTCGTGTCCAAACCTGGAGGGGATTATTTTGTGCATGTGTGTTGAGAGGGGAGTTAATTAGTGTTCCGAAGCTCTGAGGTCGACTTTTCCAATGTTTGACTAGTGGAAGCAACATTTATTGAATTACTCTGGGTTCTGCAGGACTCCTATGCAGGGTGTGTGTGTGTGTGTGTGTGTGGGCGTGTGTGTAACTGGAGAGCTCTGGCTCTTCATTCACACCTGGTATGAACATCGAGTGTTCAGTTCTGGGTTCAGGTGTGAACACATTGAGAACTTGTATAAGATCCAGTCACTCGGACCTCAGCAGGGGGCGATGTCTCCGGTGACACCTGTGTGACCTTTGTTGGACTCAAGGACTAACTTAAAGTCCTTTGGTAGAGCAGCTGGTTTTCTTGATTCGATTCATTATTATTATTTTTTTCTCTATAAATGAGCAGATCAAATTAACATTGTGGAATACTGATACAGACCATGAATTCATAACCGTCCATAAAGACCATAAATGTTACTTACATTCAAACAATGGACTGATGACTAAGAGGTTTTTCACACACCCAAACAGACACCGACTTCAGTGTCTGGAGCCACAGACTACATTCATTTCTATATACAGTCTAGAAGCTGTCAACAAACTGTTAGAAAGTTGCTGGGGAAAAGGTCAAAGGTTAAAATACCTTTCATGGCCTCTGCAGCCTGGATGAGCTCAGTGACGGAGCCAGCCACTCGTTTGGAGTAATTGGCTAAGTGCTGCTTCAGGTCATGAGTTGGTTTCTGGATGACCTGAGGTAGAAATAAAAATTTTAAAAAAATTAACCTGATCATTCACCTTATTTGTCAACACTTGAGTCAAACAGAGGGTCCACATAATTTAATACTGTACTGTAACAGAGTGATTCTTTACACAGCTAAAACATTAGACCAAAGCTGATGAGAGAATATCTAAATAAAATAATTGGTATTTGATTTGTCGGTGCTCAGCTGAGCTTCAGCTGGCGTCCTCATAGTGCCCGAGGCAGGCAGTGGGCAACAGGTGCAGCACTCAGCCTTCACATGGCTCATGTTTTTGTTTTTTTCAGATGTTAAGTCATGAAAAGAGAGAGAGAGTCGTCACTGTGTTGGTATGTCTGTGAGCCAAACACAAACGCACCAATGATGTGACGTTTGAATGATCTTCATTTGTCACCAACACACAGCCTCACGTGTCAGTCCAAGTCGACCACACATTACATTTCTAAAAGTGACAATGGTCGAGTTTGGCAATAGGAATTGATTTGCAATAAGTAGGATATGAGCTATAAAAGTAATTCAATAAGATGACTTCACTGTGTGTTACTGTGTTTGAGTGGATGTCACCTTCTCATCTTCCTTACAGCACTAAAGTGAAATGTTAATAAGGATCAAATGCAACTCTTTGTGTTATGTCCCTGGTGCAATGCCCATTGGGATTCACTTGCTTTCAGATAGTTCAGGCATGGGCAACCAACAACTGTGGGTCTGGTTACGACCCATTTGGCTTTTTAATGCGGTCCACCAAACTTGTTCAAATGATATAAATAGTTTATATTATCATCATACATCTGTCATTTCCCTGCAATGCCCAAATCCCGCCGGTAGAGGGTGTAGAAAACGCTTAAAGCATTTTAGCCTTTATGCATAATTTTTACATGTACCCGGCTCCTGTGTCAACTGTAGGACCCATTGTGGTCCACCAGTCAAAATATTTGCCCACGCCTGAGATAGTTAGTTTAAACAAGTTGGAAAAGAGTTGTTAATTTAATATAAAAAAACAGATTAATGAAACCAAACACACACAGTTGGATTACAAGTATACAGTTGTAGGGTTAAAGAACATTAAAAGATCACACACTGGTCACTGCAGGTCACTTGTGCTGCGTACTCACCGGCTTGCACCGACATCAGTGAGTCACAATTTAAAGAACAGTGATAGAGCGACAGGAGAAATAGAAGAAGAGGTCATCAAGTAAGATGACAGCTGACATAACAGAATGTGTTCAGTGTTTAGTCCACACTCAAACATCAGCACCACTCAGGTCTATGGTCTTACCACCAACACGTGCTCCAACAGACCCAGGTACCCAGTGGCACATTCGCTGCCGTAGTGCAGAGCTCTCTGCGGAACCTCTTTGCTGACCTCTGGGTGGTTGGCAG